TATAGGTCCCAAAAAGGGATCAGTATAGTTCTTTGAGTCCATACGTATAACTAAAGGCTACATAACAAGAAACAATGCCAGACAGGAAATATCTTCCTTTGAGTTGTTGGCCAGGGTGGCCCAAGAGACTCCCAGACAGTAACCCAGCATAGAACTTGGAAAATGAACAGTAGACCTGAATCTTACCTAAAGGAATGTTGGTAACAGGTTGCTGCTAGATGAGGAAGAGCTGATATTCCTAAAACAAGGAACTCTAGATAGGCTGACTAGATTTTCAGCAGATACAAACACTGGGGAATGGCTGGGGGCACGGACAACACAATGGACAGTAACAGGGATGACATAGTATATGGGCTCCAGTGGGGGCGGGGGAGGTTATGGGAGGGTGCCATTTGGGAAGTGGGTATATAGATGAATAAGATTGTGTGGGATGTTCTGTATGATATACACAAAAAAATCAACAGATTAACAAAAAGACATATTTGAGGAGGAAGCATAAAAATTTACTTCATGTACACACATGCACACACAAATAATGCAATTGAAAAATTGAGATAATGCAAAGGGTTCTTGGAAGAATTAAGGGGCAGTGGATTAAGTAGTATATGTAGTATACAGCTTACTTGAACCACTTTGTAGATCTTTTTTAAACGCACTCCTACACTAAAGGTTTTTAGACTAGTTGAGTGAGTACTTCTCATTCAATAGGCTTGAACTTTCTAGTCTCTTCATTATTTTATGTAAACTTGGGAATCAACCATCACCAGAGCTAGAAAACATTTTTCATCCCTGGTACGTCCAAATTTAAAGAGAGGAGATGATAAGCGGGCTGCATTTAGAAACTTCAGGAACCAAAAGAAGAAACGGAGAGGGGAGCAGTTGTGTGGAATTTGGGTATGTAGAGAAATACTGAGACAGCGAAACAAGAGGACTTTCTTTCACCCTGTCTGTCTTTCTATATTTACTTATTTATTTATTTTTGTGATTCTGGATATTAAACCCAAAGCCTGTGTTTGCTAGGAAAGCACTCCACTACGGAGTTACAGCTCTGCTTCAGATTTTTATTTTTAAATGTGGTTTCAAAAAAATGTGGTTTCCTCATTTGTAGAATAAATGGTAAAGGTCAGGCAGTATTTTGCTTTTGCATTTGGGGAGCTGGTGAGGTTTCGACTTAGGCATTCAGGAAATAGAATAAAGGGAAATGGAATGTGATCGTTGGGCACTTGACATGTAACAGACAATGCTTGGCTTGTGTTTTATTGTATTTAATCTTTATATGGGCTCCAAGGTCTTATCAGCATCATTTTAAAGATGAGACAGATGAGGCCCAGAGGGAAATGGAGACTTCACATAGTCACAGTCTATTTTCTTTAGGAACTGAATGTGGAACTGTTTAATGTTTTGGAAAATGAAGGTTTATGAAGTTAGTGTGACTGTATGTAGTTGACATGTTCCTTTAGAATAATTTATTGTGTGGTATCTTGTTGCATGGAGTATAGACACATGATCAGAACTACATTTTAGAATGATTGTCCACAGATCCATTTTTAGATGAGGCTTTAGGCAAGAGAAGCTTGCCCCGTGGAACCATGTTCACAGCCATCATGTCATGATCCCTCTTTCCTTCTAGGAACAGTGGACGGTGCCATGGATCTGATCTTGATCAATTCCCTACCTCTTGTGTCTGATGCCGAAACATCTCTCACCTGCATCGCCTCTGGATGGCACCCCCATGAGCCCATCACCATAGGAAGAGACTTTGAAGCCTTAATGAACCAGCACCAAGATCCCCTAGAAGTTACTCAAGATGTGACCAGAGAATGGGCCAAAAAAGTTGTTTGGAAGAGAGAAAAGGCTAGTAAGATCAATGGTGCCTACTTCTGTGAAGGGCGAGTTCGAGGGCAGGCAATAAGAATACGAACCATGAAGATGCGCCAACAAGGTAACACTCCCCTAAATGATGCACAGGTGTGCACTGCTGGAATGCACGCACACATTTTGTTTGGGCAGCTGTTCCCTTTGAGGCTGCATGAACTGTCTGAGTGTAGAGACAAGACCTTGTCTTCCTAAGCATTGTTTATTTCTGGCACATGGAACATTAGAGATGAAAGACACAATCCAGTCCAATGCCTCCCTAGACAGGCCAATCTCTCATTATTCATGTTGTATAGTTTATAATATTAAGTGAAATGTCCTACCTTCAAGTTGTCTCCTGACAGTATGAATATATAACTATGTTACATGCATGTAGTATGCAATGACAATAATTATTGCCTATTTTGAGGGTTTTCATGAATTTTCTTCATTTGATAATTTGTTTAGTCTGTCTCTAAATGCTCCTAACAGAAGTTAATATTTTCTGCCAGCTCAAACCAGACAAAATCCCAGCATAGACATGGGAAAGTGGGTACAAAACCCCAGCCAGGCCTAAAGAACTGGCTGCTAGGAGCAGAAGAAACAGTGTTTTGCAAGAATAGGACTCTGGGTAAGTTAACCAGGATCCAGTGGATGGACCCACATTGAAGGAAATTTGTAGACACAAATCAGACTCTACAGGCCATATTTTATACATATACATCTATATATACATATATGTATACACAAACACACACACACATATTTATCTATCTATCTATCTATCTATCTATCTATCTATCTATCTATCTATATTAGAGTACATTAAATTGGGTGAGGGACCATAAGGGGAGGTGCAGATGGGGAGGGGATCTAAATACCATCAAATTATATTGTATGAAAATTGTAAAACCATCCATTTTAAAAAAGAAGTTAATATTTTCAAGAAAAAATTATGGCCTAAAAAACTCCAAAAGGGAAATATCTATTAGTAACTCAACTTAATTTGTTCCTTTGTGGTATTAGTTATTTGCTACCAAAATGTTGATTTTTTTTTCACAATGATATTATATAACATAACCACAAAGTACATGGCATATGGAAGTAAGCATTTGTACTGGAAAAGCTGGCTTGACCACGTTACTGGGCTATCCTTGGCTGGGTTTTCTTCCAAATGCAGCCTGGCTGGCTATAGCCTTATTGGGTGGTGTTGGCTGAGGAGCTCGGTTCAGTTCAATATAATTGTCCTGTCGCAGGTCACCAAGTATGTCCTCATGATGGCAGAGGTACAAGAAAACAAATAGAAGCAGGAGATTTCTTGAAATCTAAGCTGGGAACTAACTGTATGTTATTACTTATGACTCATTTTATACCCCAAATAAGTCAAACAGCTGAGCTTAGAGTCAAAGTGAGTAGAAACTAGAAACTTAAGTGGCAAGGAACATGATCCAGAGAGGGATGGAGGACTGTGGCCCCCTCTGTAAGCTGCGGTTCAGGGGACTATAGTTTAATTTCATTGGTTGAGTACCCAGGCTCTGCTCAGAAAACATTAGAATTCTGAAGGGGAATTTTGAGCACCTCCTCTGAAAGAAAATGATGTCTTGCTATCACTCTATGAGGCACGTGTGATGGAGCCATCATCCCCAAATAGAAGTCTCAGTGTGATGGCAGATGGATCAGCTGGTGTGCAAACATTATTTGGTGATTGTGTTCTGAGGCTCCTGGACCTGGACAAGCAGGTAGATATCTGATGGATTTGATGCTATCTGCTGCACAGAAGGCACAGAATTCCTGCTGTCCTGACCTTGCCTTGATCTCAAGGGAATGATCACCCACTAGCCACCTTCATTGAATGGCTGAGATCTAAAGTAAAAATAAAGGCATCCTTTCCAAATTATTGTTGCCTAAGCACAAAGGCTCAGAACTTGACATTTCATGAAATAATGATATTGTGAGCTCTTTTAGAGGTTTAACTTTAATGATAAAGCTGATTTAGATATGTAGCATACCTCTGCACAATTTGGTGTAAGACTCTGCAGGGCTTTTAATCTTTATTTTATTTATTATTTTTTTAAAATTTTATTTATTTTAATTGTATGTGTATGTATGTATTGCCTGCATGTAGGTAAGTGCACCTGTGTCGTTCAATGCCCTCGGAGATCAGAAGAGGCTGTTGGATCCCCTGGGACTGGAGTTATAGACAGTTGTTAGCTGCCATGTGGGTTCTGGGATTCGAACCCAAATCCAGAACAGTCAGTGCAAGAACAGTCAGTGTTTTTAACCTCTGAGCCATCTCTCCAGCCCTTATTTTATTTATTATTTTTATTTTATGTGTGTGAGTATACTGCCTGAATGTATGCAAGTGCATCTGTGTCGTGCAATGCTTGTGGAGGTCAGAAGAGGGCATTAGATCCCTTGGAACTGGACTTTCGGATGGTTGTTAGCAACTATGTGGGTGCTGGGAATCGAATCCAGGTCCTCTGCAATGGCAGTCAGTGCTCTTAACCACAGAACCATCTCTCCAGCCACTTAATCTTTATCATTTTTCTTTTAACTATTTTTATTTGTGGTGTGTGTGTGTGTGTGTGTGTGTGTGTGTGTGTGTGTGTGTGTCCCGAAGGACAAACAGTTCTCTCTTGGGTTCCAGGGATCAAATTCAGAAGGCCAGGCTTGGGAGCAAGTGCCTTTAGCTGCTGAACCCTTGCAAGGCTTTTTAGATCATTAATTGTGTTTATAAGTCATCTGTGATTCTTTTCCAAGTGAAGATTTGGGCTCAGAACTTTGCTGATCAAGCCCTGAGAGTCTATATTTCTGTCGATTCCCAGTGACTAAGAGCCTGGGACCACAGACCACACTGAGCAGTGACAGTTTGTAGTCAACTCCTTTTTGAGTTCCACCTGAAATTGTTTCTTTGAATTTGCTAAGGGCAGCAAAGTAAAATATTTAAAAGCAGCAAGCTCACTTTAAGGTCAAAAGTGATCAAATCGCTATTCACAGAGGGAAAGGATTTTCTTAGCAAAACTATAACGCTCGCCTTTAAATGACAGCAGAGCGAGTGGGAAGGGCACACAACAGAGTTTCCCAGGAATGCAGCTCTGTGCTGAGGGAAGAGAGCTTGAACAAAGGGACGCGAGGTGTGCCAAAGGTATCACGGCTGGCAGGCAGCTCTGTTATTTTTCACACGTGTCATTTGGATTTATTTGTGTAAAGCGTCATGTTGTTTTGCCAAGTTTCCACATTCTGAATGAAGACGATTTGACATTTGTGCCCCATTGATTTCGTGGCACTGGAGTGCAAAGTGACACCATGCACTTTTGGGACTGTCTTGCCATTGCCCTTGATGAAAAACATAAATGATTATATGTAGAACTAGTGAACCAGAACATTGGGAATTAAAAACCAATGGTAGTGATCCCTCTAAAACTAATGATCCCTCCAGACTGGGAGCCTAGGTCCACACAAGCAAAGGATATTTTAAATTAAGCTAAATGAGGCCAGGCAGGCTTGGATGGTGAACAGCAGCGGAGACTGGGTGGATGTTACATTTATGCTTTCCTGAGTTTATATTCCTCCTTCACCATTCACCAGCATGCAGCCTGAGGCAAGTCATTTGATTTCTTTTTAAAAAATATTTTAATTATTATTTTATGTGTATGAGTGTTATGTCCCCATGTAAGTAAGTGCACTCATGTCGTGCAATGCCTGAGGAGGACAGAAGAGGCTGTTGATCCCCTGGAACTGGAGTTACAGACAGTTGTTAGCTGCCATGTAGGTGCTGGAATTTGAACCTGGGTCTTCTGCAAAAACATTCAGTGTTCTTAACCGCTGAGCCATCTCTCCAGCCCCAAGTTATTTGATTTCTATAGGTCTCATTTATCTGTGAAATAGGTGGAATAACACCTACATAATTCTGTTAAACTTTAAAAAAGGTTTTATATAAATACGAAGTCAGAAGCCAAGCATGGTGGCACACACCTTTAATCTCAGCACTCTCGAGGTGAAGGCAAGTGAATCTCTGTGAGTTCAAGGCCAACCTGGTCTATATAGCAAGTACCAGGCCAGCTGGCACTATAGGGAGACCCTGTATCAAAAAGACCACATATGTGTGTATATATATATATTTAATATGAAGTCAGTTCCTATATATATCTATATGGACTGATTTACAAAGATGTGCCTTTAAATGCTTATACAAAGTGACACATTTTAAAGTAAGGTGCATAATGAATATAGCTTATAAATGGTAGAAATGGGGTTTCATGATCTGAGTTCAGAGATTGTATATGGCCAGTGTACAGCTCTTTGTACATCAGTCTTAATGTTAATAATGAACACTGGCTTTAAAAGTACAATTCTGCTGGAAACCCTAGAAAGTAACACAGAGCAGAGAGTGGAAGTTTGAGAGTGGAAAGCAGCCAGGCAGGCTCGAGTCTAGGTCTGTACTGAGTACTCAGGACAAGTTACTTAGTTGATATTATAGGTTTTCCTTATTTGAAAATTAATGGGGATAAAGATTTTACCAGATACCTCTGAAAATCAAACAAGGCAGGTAACGATTGCTAACATCATCTGTTCACAGTAAATGTTTAACAAATATCACTATTATAGTACCTTACAGTAATAATTTAGTGGGATTTCTTTTGAGATGTCTATGTAGCCCTGACTGGCCTCGAACTCATGGCAATTCTCCTGCCTCAGCCTCCCCAACGCTAGGATTGTAAGCAAGTACCAGCACACCCAGCTGTAGCAGGATTATTAATTTTGCTACTCAGAATTTTAGAATGTGTATTAAGGTAGAAATATATGTGAAATATATAAACAGGCAGCACATCTCTTATATTTTAGCAATCAGAACACATTAAGCTGGTGAACTGGTTCTGCCTTTCTTCTTGGCCGTTCTGTGGGGGAAATATGTTACAGAGAAAGTAATCTCCATTATGGGAAACCAGGAGGCTCTCCAAAGCCTTGCCTTTGTGATACTGCCACTATTAATCCCATGCTTACATCACAGGAGGGCTGGGGTGCTGCCTCAGTCAGTAAAATTCTAGCCTTGTGTGTATGAAGACCTGAGTTCAATCCCCAGAACTCATATAAAAAAAAAGGCAAACTTTGTAATACACACTTGTAATCCCAGTGCTAGGATTGCAGAAACAAGAGGATCCTGGAGCCGGCTGGAGCCCAGCCTCATGGGTAAGCCCCAGGTGAATGTGAGACCCTGTTTCAAAAGAAGGGTAGATAGCATTCCTGAGGAACAACACCAGAAGTTGTCCTCTGGCCTCCACATGCATCCACATGTGTGCATGCATACCGGCACACACATGTACACCTACACACACACACACACACACACACACACACACACACCTTTGTGGGAACTCAGAACACAAGAGGATAGAATAAGCATCAGTGGACCAGAGAGATGGCTCAGAGGTTAAGAGCACTGGCTGCTCTTACAGAGGACCTTGGTTCGATTCCCAGCATCCACATGGCAGCTAACCGCCTGTAACTTCCAGCGGAATCCAAAACCCTCTTCTGACCTCCATGGGCACTGCATGACAGAGGTGCACTTACATACATGAAGGCCATACACTCATACACAAAATTAAAAAAATATTTAGTAAATATTAAAAAAATAAACATCAAGTGTATTCCTGCTTGCTGCTGACTTGTGCATCTGGGAGGAAACGGAAAAGCCATTTGAGACGTGCCAAACACAGCTTAAATTGACTTGCACACCCCAAACATCCAACTGCCTCTTTATCAACGGCATCATCCAAAACAATCAACAGCAGTTCGCTCAGGCCTCAGTGAAAATTCCACTTGGGGGTCATGACTTACTGGTAATGTCTGAAGCATTGTCAGATCCAAATATCTGTTTCAAAATTACCCCTGAGAAGAAACAGAAGTTTTGCTTTTCCCAGTTTGAGAAATAGCTTTTCATTAAGAATATCAAACTGCCTAAGCATGACTTAGAAAACTGGTGAAAGGAGCTGTTTATATCTAAATAGCACAAATGAACACATTAAAAGCATTTCAAAAACAGGAAACAATGAAATCAGATTCATCAAATTCATTTTTTTGAGACAGAGCGCGTGTATTGTAGGCTGGCTTTGAACTCACTGTTTCCAAGGATGACCTTTGAACTTCTGATCCTCCTGCCTCTACTTCCCAAGTATGGAGATTACAGATGTGCACTACCGTGCCTGGCTTATGCAGTTCTGGGGCTGGACATAGAGCTTTGTGCTTGCTAGGAAGCGCTCTACCAACAGAGCTACATCCCCAGCCCACATTCGTTTTTTAGCCAATTCTTGAGTGCGTCACACACTGGAGATGCAATGATGTTAACACTTCCAGAACATTTACATGCCTGACAACTTCAAAAACATGACCATCTAAGTCAGTCTTTCCAAATGCATAATGAGGACCACGAAGACTCCCATTAACAGGTGGGACTCCTCGCCCTGGTCCTAAGTGCCTTCACTAGCTAGTGAGTGCTGAACACAGCAGAGTGAACTCTAGCCTGATTACAGAGGCCTAACTGCAGCCACTAGCAGGGCTGCCTTTCAGTCCCGCCCTCCTGGAGCCTCAGTTGAACACGGAACAAACACTGTGTGCAAGGCTGTGGGAGGGGAGGCCGGGGAGGGCAGCATCTTTGGAGGGTCACCATGAGGCCACCTAACCTGAATTCTAGAGGCTATGTAAGGCCCCTGCAGGCATTTAAAAGCAGATTGACAAATGAGAAGGAGCTGATGAGGCCTAGTGGGAAGGAGTAGAGAGAGGGGATGTGTCTTCTTTGTGTCTTAGACAAGAGTGGTGACAGCTGGGACACAGGCCTGGGGACCAGGAAGCTTCTGTGAAGAAGTGTGGTCCTGAGTCTGGGTCTCAGCTCCCACACTGTCCACAGGTAAGGGCCCAGTCATCCCTAACGCTATCTCTCACATCTTTAAACAGTGAAAAATAAAAATGTGGATATCTGTATAAGCAACTGTGGTGAAAATACTATTTGGCATAAAACTATATTCTTACCCTTGGCACTGATCTAACATTGAATTTAAGGAAACAACCAAAACTTACTTAGCTCAACTGTTTTCCAACCAGGAGAACAGTCTATGTTTATAACTTTTTCTCCCATCTTCTTTCCTCCAGCTCTTAAGTGAACAAATGAAATGTTCTTAGTTTTCCCATCCGAGTGATCTGAAGCATGTCATCTTCCAGTGTTGGTCTTACTTCGCAGTCTCACTTATAAAATGAGGTGGTTGGCCTCAAAGGTGGCACAAAGCTTTTCGAGCACTAATATTTTGTAACCCTTGAGAGGTGTCAGAGCTCCCTGACTAAGCAACCTAGCTAGCTTTCCTAGAACTTGCTGTGCAACCGTGAGCACGTTGCTTAAACTCTTTGTGCCTCGATATCCTCATTTGTGCTTAGAGCAGTGCTTAAATGCACAGGGAATACATTACAAGCTCCAGTAGCATAGGAAGCCTAAAGTACAGCATGCAAGCTAGACCTTCACCAGTACTCAGAAAGGACATCAATGCACGGGTGACAGGCCAGACAGTAGCAGACCTCTGGTGTGAAGGTGCCCCTAAGAAAACAAGGAACTGAAAGGTACCATGTCTGAAATAATAATGAGCCACAGAGTAGGGGAAAAAGCTACACTGGACTTGAGCCTACTGGGGAATCTCAGTTCCTTTTCAGAATACAATGCCCAGGGAGAAGTCCCACGGTCAACTAAACAATCTCCACACAAAGGGGAGAATATATAAACAAACTACAGAGACAGTCATAAGATGAAATGTTCCAAAAAAAATTCTCACAGGAGTTCAGAAGTCTCTTGCGGAGAGCAAGAACTTAATACATTAGGGTGGCTAAATGGGGCATCTTGTAAACAGAAGATGCTCTCTCGCAGCACCCCTCTATACCTGTGTCCCCTGGAGCCAGGCATCACATACACTAAAGACATTTATTTTCCAGACCAGCACAGGGGATTCCTGGCAAGGAGCAGTGCCTCACCTAGCAGACGCAGCCCTCAGCCAGTGAAAACATGGGGACCACCTAAAGCCTCCTGAGAGTAGTTGAGGCATCTTCTGCCTTCACAAGATTGCTGCCTAAGCCAGAGGTGCATGTAGCACTTGATTAGGGTCTCTCAAACCATCCTCTGCCCCCATCCAAAGGACACCGGGAAAACAAGAAGAAATGACCACTGACTCATTGCAAGGTTCTTAGATAAGCCTCTCTGATCTTCAAGGCTTTATCCTGGACCGAAACTGCAGGAATTTTGCTATTTGCCACTGAGTACAAAATATTCTGCTGTTGTTTTCTGATTTAGGTACATTTTGGTCAGAGGACATTTTACTCATTAGATATGCTTTGTGGCATTCAGATAACTGAATAGGGATAGGAGTCCATGAATTTTCAAAGACCTTTAATGGTATTATTCAAATCATCTATATTTTTCCTTGGTGATTTTTGGTCTGTTTGATCAATTTGTTTTAGAAAATTGCCACTCTGCTTCAGGAGTTATCAGTTTCTTCCTTTAATTCTGTTACTGTTTTGCTTTATGGGTTTTGAATATCTGTTTAGGTACACGAACAAGCCCAGATCATGATCTCTTTATGAACAACATGTGAATCAGGCCTTCTAATGAGATTTTACTAGAGATGGGGGATGGTTCCTTATCATTAAAAAACATCTTGATCCCTAAACATTTCTGGCCTTAGAAACAGTTTTCTAATGTAAATGCAGACCAGGGTCTTACTACATAGCCCTGACTGGCCTGGAACTCACTATGTAGACCACACTTTCGTTGAACTCACAGAGATGTGTGTATTGCCTGCATGTAGGTAAGTACACCTGTGTTGTGCAATGTCTGTGGAGGACAGAAGAGGCTGTTGGATCCCCTGGAACTGGAGTTACAAACAGTTGTTAGCTGCCATGTGGATGCTGGGATTTGAAGCCGGGTCTTCTGCAAAAACAGCCAGTGTCCTTAACCTCTGAGCCATCTCTCCAGCCCCAGTTCTCTTCTATTTTTAACATTGGCTTAATTTAATATCAAAACACAATTCCTGCTTATTTCAGAATGTGGTTTTCTGCAGATTATGGTATAAATTAAAGAAATTCAGACACTGTTGCTACTGAAGAATATTAGAAAATTTCATTCATACCAGTAAACCAAGGGACCGAGGAAATGTTGTTCCCCAAGCCTGATAGAGAGGCAGAAGTTTTGGGATCACTTATGGCATTATAAGCCAAGTATAGAATCCTTCCCATTTCTTCCCAGCACCGTTAAATTCTACAATTATGTCAGTTCATGCATGTTAATTAAAGGGTAGAGGTAAGATGCTAGATCTGTCCTTATCTTTATTCTTCAATATTCCATTTTTATATCATGAAAAAGTATAGGATTATGCTCATTACATTTCGTTTGGAGTATTCTAAAGCAATTAGAATTCTTTAAAAAAGCAACAATCAGCATCACACAAAAAGACCAAAGGGAAAGTAAAAGGCAATGTTATTTTCTTTTCTACTTTAAGGAAATTTATATTCCTTTAGAATTCTTTTTCACTTTGAGTAAGCATAGCAGTGATTGGAGAAGGGTAGCAGATTCATAGTTAATACAGTTTAAAATTAGTATCAGGACTTTGTTCTATAGATGTTCAAATCAACAAAAGATGTCACCTCCACAATCAAGGGCGTGTGTGTGTGTGTGTGTGTGTGTGTGTGTGTGTGTGTATTGTGTGAATATATTTCTATTTTATAAAGGAATGGCCATCCTTTTCATTAGACTATTAAACAGGTACATGTGGTCTATTAGCCACGGTTGTTCTTCATGTTGGAAAAACCAGCTGACTCCTGGCATATGTCAGGTCTCATCCTCTGAAGCTTGATGTTCATTGTTCCTGAGGAAAATGTGTGACCTCATTTTTGTATGTTTCCCTTTCTCTTTTAAAAGCTTCCTTCCTACCAGCTACTTTAACTCTGACTGTGGACAGGGGAGATAATGTGAATATATCTTTCAAAAAGGTATTAATTAAAGAAGAAGATGCAGTGATCTACAAAAATGGTGAGTCTGTCTCATTTCACTCCAACAGCGCAGTGTGAGACACTGGATAAGTCCTAACATGTCAGATATTAATATATTGTGATTGCAGAGGCACTTGTCTTAAATTATGCAGCTATGATTCAGTTATAAAATTCTGCCTATGTGGGCTGGAGAGATGGCTCAGCATTTAAGAGTACTGGCTGTTCTTGTAGAGGATCTGGGTTCTGTTCCCAGCATCCACATGGTGTCTAACAACTGTCTGCAACTCTAGTTTCAGGTGATCTGATGCCCTCTTCTGACCTCTGCAGGCGGTGCATGGCACAGGTGCACTTACATGCATGCAGGCAATACACCTATACACATAAAATGAAAATAATAAAGAAATTCTCCCTATGACAGAAGCTGTTTTAGACAATGTGTTTACTTACTTAATTAAACTAGGATAGGGATCCAAATATGCATGCATATATCTGTACACATATATATGGCATGTATACATACAATAAAAACTGATTGCAATGTGATAACTGAGGTCCCCAGTTCAACCATGTAAGATGTGAGGTCATCTGATTGTAAGGACAAAGACAGAAACAGGGGTGTTTGGAGCACAATCTATTTTTTCCCTTACCAGGTTCCTTCATCCATTCAGTGCCCCGGCATGAAGTACCCGAGATTTTAGAAGTGCACCTGCCTCACGCTCAACCCCAGGATGCTGGCGTGTACTCCGCCAGGTACATAGGAGGAAACCTCTTCACCTCAGCCTTCACCAGGCTCATAGTCCGGAGTAAGTGCCTGACAGGTCACCATTCTATACTGGTGTAGTTGTTAGGATATTTAGTTGCAAGTAACAGAAACTGACAGTGGTGACTCAAGGAAGGATCCTAAGGACATTCAGGAATCTGACAGAGAATCTGATGAGCAAACTCCAGAAAAGATATACTCTTGGGAACACCTGGGGTTCTGAGGTGGCAGGTTAGGTGAGCTTTTTCTTTAGGTTGACCCTATTTCAACAACTCAGATCCCACAATGGTTCCTTTCTGTCTGGGTTTTATATTCCCAGTAGAAAGACTCAGTTCTGCCTATACACACCAGATGTCTACCAACCCAGACCAATGAGGTAGAGGCAAGAGAGCAGAGCCACATGTCTAGAAGTCATGTGTGTAGCAGGGCCATTAGAAAGGGCTTTGCAGTGAAGCAGGATTGGCTCTCTGGACTTTCTGAGATGGAACAGTTACAGGGGGGTGAGTTGGGGCAATATTTTCTCTGAGTTCCATGCTTGCCAGATCATTTAACTCACTAATGTGATTTTTAATTTTTAGATTTGAAAAATGCAAGAGTTAGAACTAGTGCCAACTTCCCTCCCCCTTATAACTGTCAAAGTGGAAATAACCAACACCAGTGATTTTTATGGATACATTGATTTATAGAAAGCAAGAGATTTTCCCTGAATCTCCCCCAGCTGTCAAGCAATTTGTGCTATTTATCAGTCAGGCCTTCAGGACTGAAAACTTGGTTCCTCTGTTACTCCTCTGATGATGGATATCTCTAATTCATAAAGATAAGTTCTTTTTCTATGTATTATGTTCATTTAGTTGATAAAGTGTGGTGATAACTCTGTGCCAAGCATTGTGCTAGCATTAAAGACACAGTATAACACAATCCCTGTGTCTTGTCAGTCAGAGCAGGTATACATGTAATAAGGTAAGTACATATTACAACATAGTAGTAAAAGTACAGAAAGCATGGCTCACCTAGTTTATGCCCCATGCCAAGCTGCCTCAAGAGGTATAGAAAAACAGAATGGTTTAGGGGCTGGAGAGATGGCTCAGTGGTTAAGAGTACTGACTGCTCTTGCAGTGGATCGGGGTTCGACTCCCAGCACCCACATGGCAGCCACGAACCGTCATTAACTCCAGTTCTAGGGGAATCTGAAGCCCTCTTCTGACCTCCATGGCATTGCATGATGTGGGTGCATTCACATACATGCAGGCAATAATACACTTATACACATAGAATAAAAATAATAAAATATTTTTAAAAACCCAGAATGATTTTTCTGCTCTTTAATCATGAACACAAGACTTCTGACACTAGTTTGTGGTGGGTTTCTCCCACACCAAGCAGTTTTCCAGAAGACATCACCTGGGACTCCTACAGTGTAACTCTGTTCTGATTCTATCCGGAGATAGCATCAGATCCCATGGGGAAGGGCTCAGTTCCATAAGATTGCTCCTACTTCTGACAGCAAGTTGAAAACCTTGTTATGTTCTATGTTTCTGATGGACTAGCTATAAATCAAAGATTCTCGAGACCCTCCCCTCTGGTTTGATGAATTTGCTGTCAGCTCACAGAACTCAGGGAAATAGTTTCGGTTTATTATAGAGGATAATACAGAGGCTACAAATAAATAACCACAGGGCAGAGATGCATAGTGCAGGGTGGAAGGGTGAGGAGGAATTCCATACACTCTCCAGGCATGCCACATACCAGGAACTTTCCAGAAGCTCTTTCAGTCTTGCCCTTTAGTGATCAGCCCAATTTTCAGTCCTTAGACCCGCCTTAGAGATTGGAGGTAGGGCTAAAGCCCAAACTCGGCAGCCATGCCTTGATCTTTCTGGTGACCCTTAGCATGAAGTTATTTAAGGGTCCCTTCCTGGGATTAGGAGTGATGGTAAGATAGGTGTACAGGCAGACACAGGGCTGAGAACACAGTTCATTTAAGAGGAGCCCATTTCACCTACATCATCTGACATAATGTTTAACATGTGTAAGTACCTTGTAGCCTGGCTCTCAAGAAATCAGTAATTGCAGAGCCTTTCTCCTATTATATGTTAAGGAACATATAAAATGTCTGAAAGCTAATATTTATGTTCCTTAACATATAGTAGGAGATTAGCTTTCAGACATTTTATATCTTTATCTATTTAAGTGGAAGGCTGTAAGAAATGGTCTAGGTTGACAGTTTTCGTGATTATTTTAGAGAAAATACTGATAGTCATGAGTTTTTGCCAGAGATTTTGAGGTTACATCAGCTGCAGGCATGGGTCCAAATTTACCACTCTGAGACTAGTACTTAGGAACAAAGATACTAGCTTCTCTCAGATGAGAAATTAAACTAAATTCTCAACCTCAAAGGGCCATCCCAGCACCCCTGGGTTTTCTGTATATTTGAAGGTAACCTTTGGTCAAATTATAATCTAAAATCATCCAGTGTTAGAAGTAACCAGGAAAGATGACCCTAGGAAGCTATTTTACCACTCTGTGCTGTTAGTTTTGCATACCTTGATATTTTGCCTCACTTCTCTCCTTCCAGTGGAGAGAGCAGATGCTACTAGCGATTGCTTCCCTTGTTAGCCTAGTCCCTCTTACTCTGTGCTGAAGGCTCTCACACTCCAGCACGCATCAGAATCGGTAGGTGGGCTTGCTGGGCAGACCCTACTGGCCACTGGAAGAGTTTCTTCCAAGGTTATAGGTCTGAGGTTTGTATTTCTGTCTGTGATTTTCAGGTGATGGAGATGCTGCTTGGTAGGAACTCTGCTTTGAAACCCACTTCAGTCTTGAGCCATAGCTACCCCCGAGGGTAGTGTCTAGCCTCTTCTTCCTTGCTGCCTAGGAGGCCCTGCAGACCCGTCCCAGACCCCACTCCTGCTGAAAGCCTCCTTTGTGCTGTTTCATTGGCAGGGCGGGATTCGATACTCTGTTACTGCGTCTGTCATCATCTACAGTTTACACTCTCTCCCTCGTGTTACACTATATCAGCTTTCAGAGGCTACATTTTATCTTCATTCACTGTTGCCCACTAAAATGACTGCTGCATCCTAGTTGTTCCGTAAAGGTTGTTGAATGAATGTGGCTTTCCTTACCACCTCCCTATTCTCCTCGATAAAAGGATGTGAAGCTCAGAAGTGGGGTCCTGATTGTAACCGTCCCTGTACTGCCTGTATGAACAATGGTGTCTGCCATGAAGATACCGGGGACTGCATCTGCCCCCCAGGGTTTATGGGGAGGACGTGCGAGAAGGGTAAGTGAGCAGTCCTCTGGGACTAAAACCCAGTGGCGTGAAAACCATCATTACTGGGTGCAGAGTTTTAAATACGGGCATAAGAAAGGGTGCTAAATGGCATCTATTAGGTTTCTTGGTACCTTCTTTGAGGTCCTTTATTTAGATCACTGGAAAGCTGTAACAAAAACACAAATGTTTGCTGTAATAATATTAAAGTATACAACCTGGGATACCGGTGGTAGCCCCAGGCTCCTCTTTGTGAAGCAGTTTTGTTTTCTATAAAACATGTCCTGAGGACATGCTTGTCCTACCTCTGCCAGAGCTCAGATTAGAGTTTTCCCTGTCACTGGTCGAGGAGATTTTTTTTTTTTAATCATGCATTTCAAGGAGTTGCAATTTGATTCTGAATCTATCTTTGTATCTTTTCCCTCCCAAAGCTTGTGAAGTGCACACATTTGGCAGAACTTGTAAAGAAAGATGTAGTGGACCAGAGGGATGCAAGTCTTACGTGTTCTGTCTCCCAGACCCCTATGGGTGTTCCTGTGCTACGGGCTGGAAGGGGCTGCAGTGCAATGAAGGTATGCTCCTTTCATACCGGAAACAGGAGAAACTATAGTAGGGATACAGGGGAGATGCAGTTAGCAGGAAGTGGAGTGGAACATACCAGATTACTCAGCCACTTACCTATTGCTGAGCTACAGGGAATTTAAATCAGATTTTTTCCCCCATAAAATGTATATCAAATATTGAAAATATTTTTATTAAATTCTTTGAGATTTTCATTCAATGTATTTTAATCATATTCCCCTCTCCCCAACTCCTCCAAGTCTTACCCCCACCTCTATCCACCTTTGTGTTACCCAAATATTCTTGACAGTGGAACAAGCACTAGTATGTGGTTGATCACCATGGAGCCACATCCTTGACGAAAACTGACTCCTCCTCTTCCGGCAGCTGTCATATGCCAGCAGCTCATTAGCTCGGGGAGGACTTTGTGCCTATCTCCTTGTTGCGTGCTGAGGTTTTGACAAGCGTGACCTTAAGGTCTTGTGCTTCCTGTCACCACTGCCATGAGTTCATATGTCTCTGCAGTCTGGAAGACAGTTTTTTTGCAGTCATCCACTACCTCTGGCTCTTACAATCTTTCTACTCCCTCTTCTGAGAACATTCCTGAGCCGTGTGTGTGTGTGTGTGTGTGTGTGTGTGTGTGTGTGTGTGTGTGTGTGATTAGGGCTGAGCAGTCTACAATCTCTTATTCTCTGCACCTTGACCAGTTGTGAGTCTCTGTGATAACTGTGATAATTGCCTTCTACTGTAAGAAGCTTGTCTGGTGTGGGTTGATAGATGCACTAATCTATGTGCATAGCTATTAAGTCATTAGAAGTCATTCTAATACTATATCCATTTAGTAGAATATTAGTAGCAGGCTTTCCCCTAGGGCCCATGAGCTATCCAGCTATAGGGTTTTGTCCCTGATAATAGTGCCAGGTATTGGTTCCATCTCATGAAGTGGGCCTTAAATCCAATCAGAAAGTGTTTGCTTACTTCCATAACATTCATGCCATTATTACATCAGTGGGTGCATCTTGCCAGACCAGGTGTTATTGTAGCTCACAGGGTTCATAGCTGGGTAAGACTGATGATTATTTCTCTGCTCTAGTAGTGTGTATAGCATCTTTTAGCACTGTGAAAGCTAGCCAGTGTGGGGGAATATTCCAGGACAGTACCCCTTGATGTTTCCATGTTTATGACTCATATTTATTGTCTTCAGCAATAGGGTCTTATCATCAAGTTCTGAGCAATGGCAATAGCATAAAATATTTGGGGGGGGGTCTATGGAGCTCTACTAGCCAATAACTTAAAAAGAGGTAACTTATTCCTGGTACTAGGGTTTCTATTTGCTAGAATGAGGTGTCTAGTTGGGGCATTGTCCCTCTTATGGAGTAGCTCCATTTAAATTCTTTTTATGTATGTATATTTTAGACTGCCTCTACAGTAGTAGCTTTCCATATGGTTTTTCAAGAGGCATTTAATGTTAGTTATCCTTCCCCATACTCCCTCCTCTGCTCTACCACCCCCTCCATTTAATCCTTCCTGAATCATCATTCCCCTTCTCTCTTTATATCACTGTGTTCTAGCTCCCTCTCCTTGAAACATCCTCCCCCACGGCCCCTCAGTAGTTTCCTAACCTCTACAGGTATTAGGCATGATATACACACATCTAAAGATTCAAGTGAACATGCACATAAGAGAAGGCATGTCATGTTTGTCTTTGGGTGTCTGGGTTACCTCACTCAGGACGATGGTTTCCAGATTCATCCATTTACCTGTGAATTTCATATTTTCATTTTTCTTAATAGCTGAATAATATTCTGTTAGATAAATGTACTACATTTTTCTTGTCCATCCATTAGTTGATGGACATCTAAGCTGTTATCATTTCCTGCCTATTGTGAATAGGGTGGCAATGAACATGGATGAAGCATCTCTATAGTAGGTTGTAGAGTCCTTTGGGTATATGCCCAAGGGTGGAATATCTGGATCTTATGTTAGGTCTATTTCTACCAATGGGTGGACTAGGTGGATCTTATGGTAAGTCTATTGCTAGGTTTTTGAAGAATCTCAGCACTTATTTCCCACTCCTTCTTCTCCTCCTCCTCCCTCCTCCCCCTCCCCCCTCCTCTTCCTCCTCCTGACAGGGTTTCCTTAGTCCCAGCTCACCTGGAAGTCACTATATGTATCAGGCTGGCCTCAAGCCACCATGTCCATCTTCTTAACCTTTTCAAAGAACCAACTCTTTCATTGATTCTTTAAATTGGTTTTTTTCCTCTCTATTTCATTAATTTCAGCCCTGATTTTGATGATCTTTTCCTGCTTACTCTTTTTATATGTTGTTTGTTCTTGTTTTTCCAAGGCCTTTAGGTATATCATTAAGTTATTAATATGAGCTATCTCTAATTTTCTAATGTAGGCACTTAGTGCTATAAACTTTCTTCTTAGAACTGCCTTCATTGTATTTCATAGATTTTGGTATGTTGTGTTTCATTTTTGTTCAATTCCAGGAATTTTTAAATTTCCTTTTTGATTTCTCCCTTGATACAGTTTTCATTTAATAGTGTATTGCTTAGTTTCCAGGAGTTTGTATACGTTCTATAGTTTCTGCTGCTCTTGATAACCAGCTTTATTCCTTACAGTTGGATAGAATTCAGGATGTCATTTCAGTTTTCCTATATTTGTTGAGACTGGCTTGTGTCCTAATATGTGATCAGTTTTAGAGAAAGTTCCAGTGACTGATGAGAAGAATTTGTATTTTTTAGTGTTTGTTTGAACTATTCTGCAGGTGATTTTAAGATCCATTAGATTTATAGTGTCATTTATCTCCCGAGTTTCTCTGTTTAGTGTATGTCTGGATGTCTATTGGTGAAATTGGGTATTGAAGTTACTATCACTGTATTGGAGCAATCTGTGTTTTTTAGGTCTGTGTTTCTTTTATGAAGTTGGGAACTCCTGGGTTTGGTGCATAAATTTTAGAATTAAAATATCCTCTTGGTGGATTTTCCCTTTAATGAGTGTGAAGTGTCCTTCCTTGTCTCTTCTGGTTAGTTTTGGTTTGAAGTCTGTTTTGTCAGATAGCAGAGAAGTTATACCTGTTTATTTCTTAGCTTCATTTTCTTGGAATATCTTTTTCTGTCCTTTACCCTTACATGGTGTGTCTGTCTTTCATGGTGAAGTATGTTTCTGGGAGACAGCAAAAAGATGGATCCTGTTTTCTGATCCAATCTGTTAGTCTGGTTTTTTTGGGGGGTGGGGCGGATTGAGACAGTTAGTATTGAGAGCTGTTGTTTACCAGTGTTAGTAATTACTGTTATTTTGTTGTGGTGGTGTTGTTTTCTTAGACCTATTGGCTAACTGTTCTGGAATTGTTTATTCCTTGTGCTCTCTTGGGTGTGTTTTCTCTCCTCTTCAGACCAAAGTATTCCTTCTAGCATGCTTATAGAGCTGTCTTAGTGCACACACAGTTTTTGGATCTGTTTTTATCGACCTTTCTCCTTTGGTTATGACTGAGTTTTCCTGGATTTAGTAGGCTGGGCTGGCATCTCTGTTCTTTCATAACTTTTAGGACACTGGTCCTCTTTGGCTAGTTCTCAGTCTCTGTTGAAAAACCAGCTGTTTTCTGCTGAGCCTGCATTTACATGTGACTTGATTTTTCTCTCTTTCAGTTTTTAATATCCTTTCTTTGGTCTATACATTTAGTGTCTTGACTATTATATGACATAGGGAGTTTCTTTTCTGGTCCTGTCTATTTGGTGTTCTGTATGCCTCTTATACCTTGATAGGTAACTTTCCTTCGATTTGGGAAATTTTCTTCTATGGTTTTGATGGAAAATTTTTTTGGTCCATGGACCTGGGTTTCTTCTCCTTCTTCTATACTCTGATATACAGGTTTGGTCTTTTGATAATGTCCCATAATTACTGGATGTTTTGTTCTTGAGTTTTTTTTTAAGATTTAATATTTTCTTTGAGTGATCCATTTCCTCTACCTTGTCTACGAGACCTGATATTCTGGCTTCCACTTGATCCATTCTATTGGTCAGATTTTCCTGGTCAGATTTTCCTCTGAGCTTTTTATTTGAGTTCCTGAGTTTTTCGTTTCTCTTGAGTGTGGAATTTACAGAGGGAGAAACTGGTTGGGAAACTCAAAGGTGGACAATAGTTCTAATAAGGGATGCAGAACGGCAAAGGGGGAAGGAAGATGAGGAAGGGTGACAGAGGGAGTAACGACCAAAGTACATTGTATATATGTGTGGAAATTTCTAGATGAAGCCCATCAGCTTGTACAATTAATATTTCCTAATAAAAATGGTTAAGTAAAGCTGACTGGCATAGGCTGATCCCATGTTGTGGTTAGCATAATGCTGCCTCCAACGTAGGAGAAGGGGTATTTTTTTGAGATACTGATTTCATTCCCTTTGGACATATATATTTCTTGTTGAACCAATTTGATAATACTTTTTTTCCATACAGATATCCAGAAGTAGAGTTGCTGTATTGTGTGGTAATTGTGTGTTTATTTGCTTGTGGTTTAAAGGACTCTCCATCTCCACATGGTTTTTGGATAGTTACGTGCCCTTAAACAGTGTATGAGCATTTTTTATTTCTGTCCTCACCAACGCTTGCTGTCTTTTGTCTTATGATACTCATTTTAACAGATGTTGTCATGTCTCATTGTGCTTTAAATTTGTGCTTCCTTAAAGTTGTGTGGCTGTATGTGTTGTGAGAGATTGAACCCAGGGTGCGGTGCGTGTGGGCTGCATCCATAGCCCTTCTCTGATGACCAGTATTCAACGTGTTTTCACGTACATTCTGGCCATCTATGTATCTTTTTTTGAGAAATGTCAGTCAATTCAGGTTCTTTGCCTCTTTTTAAAAATACTTGTTCTCTTGCTATTGAGCCATTTGAGTTCCTTCTATATACTAGATATAAACTCCTCATTATATGTATGGCTTACATATATATTTTCCTGTTAATCATCTCTTCTCTCTTTTGATTGCTTCCTTTGCTGTGCAGAAGCTTTTTAATTTGATGCAATCCCATTTATCTACTGATTTTTGTTTTCTATATTTTCAGGGTTATATTCAAATGATCATGGCTCAAATTATAATTTCAAGAAGAATTCTCCTCTATGTTTTCTTCTAATAGCTTTATGATTTTAGTTCACAGGTTTAAGGCTTTTGAGTTGATTTTTGAACAAGGCGTGAGATGACAAACTAATTTCATTCTTCTGCTTGTAGCTACCTAACTTTTCCTCCCTATCATTTGCTGAAGTGATTATCTTTTCTTCATTTTGTATTTTGATGCATTTGTTGAATCAACTGAAAATAAATATATGGATCTGTTTTTGAGTTTTTTGAGTTTTGGCCTCATTGGTCTGTATATCTGTTTTTAATGCTAACACTGCTTTGATTACTATTCCTTTATAGTGTTTTTGAAATTAGACACCTTGAGCATAGATCTTTCCTGCTCATATGTCTTTGACTATCCAGAACTTTTTTTTGTTCTTATATGAAGATAGCTTTGTTTCTTTTGTTTCTCTGAAAAATTGCTTTGGTATTTTGACAGAGATTATACTGATTGACACTAAAAAATAATGTCTGTCTCTTGGCTTAGTGATTAAATTGTACAAATTAAACAATCCATTAGAACCCCGGGGGGCAAGCTTCTGCATCAGTTTTAAGTAAAAGACTTCTAGTATGGTTATAATTGACAAAAAATAGGACATCTAGTCAACAGAATCAGTTCATCATCTGATAAAGTATAAAAATTGTCCTAAGAAGTTCAGTGAGCCTCAAAGGAAAGCAGCAATTCTTCCTGCCCTCGCACTTTGAAAGTTCAGAAGCAAATTGAATGGCAAGATTCCCCTACTGTAAGGTGAACTCAGGGACAAGGAAAGGAAAAGAATAACATCTTAAATTCTTTTGGTTTTAGTTTTTAGTAGGTTTGACCATGCTGTGCTTAGGGTTAATTGTCTTTACATTTATCCTACTTGGTGTTCATTGAATTATGTCTAAATGTCATCAAAATGGGAAAATGTAAGGCACTATTTTCTTTTATAAAAAAAGATTGATAACATTTATGTATTTATTTATTGTGCATGTGCGTGCGTGTCCATGTGTGCGTGTGTCTGTGTCTGTGTGTGTGTGTCTGTGTGTGTGTGTATGTATACCCACACACCGTCAGAGAACAACTTGTGGAGTTGGCTCTCTTCTTCCATCATGTGGGTCTCTGGGATTCAACTCAGGCTTCATGGCAAGTGCCTTTACCTACTGAGCCAACCCATCAGCCCTGAAGAACTATTTCTTCAAATATTTTTCTATGTTTTTCTCTCTGTTCTTCCTTGAGCTCCCACTTCCACTGTGTTAGACCTTCCAACATTGCTTCATTAGCCTGGAGGCTCCTCAGCACTTGCACTCTTTCCCTCTCCTTCTGCAGGTTGGAGCTCTGTGGCTCTAGCTTCAAATTCAACTCATTCTTTTGTCATCCCCATTCAGCTCCTAAGTCCACACAGTGGTATTTGTATTTTAGAAATAGTAGTTGCCTTAGTTACTTTTTTGTTACTGTGATAAAATGCACTAATGAAAACAATGTAAGGGTTTATTTTGGCTCACAGAGTGCAGGCACAATCCATCATGGCTGTCAAGGCTGCAGGAACTTAGTGGCTGGTTGTATCACATCCATAGTCAGAAAGCAGAGGATGATGAATGTCTGCCTCAGCCCCATTCCTCCTTTTTATACAGTCCAGGATCCACTGCAGGGACTTACACCACCCAGTTGGCAGGTCTTCCTACCTCTGTTAACCTGACCAAGATAATCCTCCACAGGCATGTGCAGCCTCCTCCAGAGGCTCCTCTCTCAGGTGATTCTAGATCTCATGGGGTTGACAGCTGACATTAACCATCATAGTAACTTTTTGTTCTAGAATTTCTCTTTTATTTTTATAGTTTATATTTCTCTGGTGAATTTCTCATTGCTTTAGTTATGTATTTTCTTTTACTTCATTGGGCATAATTATTTAAAACTTTTTCTTCTATTCCTAATATTTAGGTCCTCACAGTTGCTCAATTTAATTTTTTTTAAAGAATAGACCACAGTTCTCCATTACTTTTTTTTTTTTTGCTTTTTGGCTTTTCAAGACAGGGTCTCCCTGTAGCCACAGATGGCCTGGAACTCACAATGCAGGCCAGGCTGGCCTTAATTCCACCTGCCTCTGTTGGGATTAAAGGTGTGTGCCATCACACCTGGCCTTTTACTTCTTATGTTGAGTAATTTGAGATTGTATCTTGTATACCTGATGTGACACCGTGGGGACTCTGGAGTGTGATATGTTCCTTTGAGGAATGTTTATTTTGTTTTAGTAGGCAACTAACTTGGTAGGACTCATGTCATAAAGTCAAAGTCCACTCAGTTCTTTCATCTTTATCTGGGCTTCTCTGAGTCCGTGAGCACATGTGGCTCGCGTCAGCCACAGGGCTGAGCCCTCCTTCCAAATCCCTACTTCCTCTTTTCCCTCTTGCCAGTTAGTGTTTGTTCCAACTTTTCCCTCTACTTTGTCAGGCCAATGAGATAACTGAATTTCTTTGGAGTTTTATCCCTTCGTATGAGTCAGCTGTACCCAATAATTAAGCAAAAAGCTGAAAAATAAGAAACACACCATTCCCATCTTCCAAATTTCAGTTCTCCTCGGGAACATGGCTGCTTCCCTTTACCCCACCCAGCACTCTCCAATGATTTCAAGTAATCATTTTCTGAATATTGTATTTATGAGAAGTGTGTCTAAGTAGGATCTTGCCGAACTCTTTGCAAGCAGAATTCCCTAGACTCCTCTCCCTAGACGTTGTCTGGTTAGATCACATAAATGATACGCCACTGTGCATGAATCGGCAAAGCTGATAGCGTGGGAGGAAACTGAAACTCGATACTGACAGCCTTAGCATTGTCCCTCTGTAATAACACTGCCTTGTGATATCTCTGTTTCCAGTGTGCCAGGCTGGTTACTACGGACCAGATTGTAAGCTCAAGTGCAGTTGTACCAATGGGGAAATGTGTGATCGGTTCCAAGGATGTCTCTGCTCTCAGGGATGGCAAGGACTCCGGTGTGAGAAAGAAGGTAAAGCAAGGTAACACTGTGGTCAGCGTCATGGTCAGCGCATCTGAGTGGAGCTCTACTGCTGTAATTCTCCTCACCTCCCCCACCCCGTAACCTCTCATCCTCTCCAATCCAAACCAAACCAAACCAGACCAAATCAACCCCTCCCCCGCCCCACCCAAAAAACCCAAACCAGAAACCACTCCGTCGTTGAAACTCTGTCTGAGGACCCTTAGTCTAGTCTCCATTCGCTTTCCACTGGGAAGAAACCACACACCCAGGAAGTGCCGACCGACTGGCTTTCCCCGCCTCTTCCGCTGTCCTGTCCAGGACCTTTTCTTTCCATCTGGAACATGGAAATGACTACTTTGGAGGAATTTAGAAAAACCATACTTCTAAAAAGAGAAAGAATGGAACAAATAGAAAAGATTGCATTCAAATTGAAATTTTAAATATTTCTGATTCAGATTCTACAGATAAAACCCAATCCATTATATGTATATTTTAAATCTTCATTGATGTATCATTTTTATACCGTACACTCATTTATATTGGTCAACTTAATGGATTTTAGTATTTTCATGCAGCTGAACAATCATCATCATGAGTGGTTTTGGACCATTTTCATCTTGCCAAAAGAAACCTTGCGTCCCCGCTCTCACTCTCTCCTCCTAGAGCTTTGAGCTCATTAATTTTCTGTTTGCCTATTCTTGACAGTTTATATGCTTTAAGATATTTTATGTATTAATTTTTATTTTATGTGTATGAGCATATTGTCTGCATATATGTAAGTGCACTTGTGTTGTGGAGTGCCCGCGGAGGTCAGAAGAGGGTGTCGGATCTCCTGGAACTGGAGTTAGCCACCATGTGGGTGCAGGGAACTGAACCCAGGTCCTCTGCCAGAACAGCCAGTGTTCTCAACTGCTAAGCCATGTCTCTGGCCCCCAATATTTTATACACTTTAAATGAGGCCCTACAATATTGGTGTTTTGTGGCTAAGCCCTTTTGTGACCTCCATAGGCATCGTACACATGGGTGCACTTACATACACACAGGCAAAACACTCATGCACATAAAATAAATAAATCAAATAAATAAATCAAAAACAACTTTTTAAGTTGTAGAAAGAAAAATATACTCAGTGAAATCTGCATTCAGAATAAGATAGTTGTCTCAGTTTTCTGTCCTTGACAGAGGACCCAAGAGAATCAGTGTAAAGGAACCTCACTGTTCAGAAGTTTCAGATCATGTTGCTGTGACTCCGTTACTTTGGGCCAGTGAGGTAGAGCATCGTGGCAGCAAAGGAATGTGGAAGAAACTACTCACTTTTAGGCGAGAACAAGGGGCCAGGGACAAGATGACCTTTAGAAGGCACGCCCCAGTGACCCGTGTCCTTCAGCCAGGCCCTGATCAGGACACTGTCCATGGATCCTAAGTGCATTCATTATGGATTAGCACCCTGAGATCAGAGCCCCCGTGGCCCAATCATTTCTCCACAGCTCCTCAGCTCACAGCCAAGCCTTTACCACACAACCTCTTAGGGACCTCAGAGCAGCTCTTGTCTTTGCTGTTCATTGTTTGAAATTTGATCAGATATGGCCCGGAGATGCCAACAGTTGTTTTTCAGGTTTTTCCCCCTCTAGGCCTAAGTCTGAACTTTAGGGCAGGAAATGGGGATCGGCTAGGGGAGATTGAAAATGGGCTACAAACAACTTGGAGGATTTGAATTCTCCACCCTGCTCCTTCCTGTCTGCCTAAGGTTGGTGCTGTAAAACCTCTGTGTTCTGACTGGGTGAATGGAGACGTTAGTCTCCCTGAGCTCAACTTTTAAACTGAGGATTCTGGTGTTCGACTCCAGTATTCACCCCCCATCCAACCTCAGAAAATGTAAGCTCACTGAAGGAAAGAAAGACTTTAAAAGTGTTAGCACTTTTTTTCTCAATTCCAAGCTAATTAGGCTAAAAAACCAGGTACCTTTTCTAATCATAGTCTCTCTACAGACTTACAGTTGCCTTTGTAATTATTAAACTTTATTTCCCTCTTCTTGATACCGTTTAGCTCTTCATTTTATTCCTGAAAAATGGAATAGAAGTATTAAGTATTACTGCTGATATATCTATCTTGACCCCATCTTGTTCTACAAACAATATGAGAATATTAAGTTATCACTGCTCTCCTACATATTTTACTAAATTTTGGACAGTTTTTGAGTGTGGCATTTATCTGTTTTCTGTTGCTATAACAAAGTACTCAAGGCTGGGTATTTTGTAAAGTAGAGGTTTAATTAGCTCTTTGTTTTGGGTACCAAAATTCCAAGACCAGGTGGCCTAGGCTCTGTATGCAGTGTAACCTCTGGTGAAGCCTCATTATTAATAGCAAGACAGCATATAGAAGCGACCACATCACATGATAAGAAAAGAAGCCAGAGAGATTTAAGGGTCAGACTGTTTAAAAAAAAAAAAAAAAAGACAGGGTCTCACTGTAGCTTCAGCTGGCCTGAAACTAGCTATGTAGACCAGACTGGCCTGCATCTCACAGATATCCTCCTGCTTCTGGGATTAAAAGCACAACACCAGACTTCATTCTGGCCTCCATAAGAGCTACATTAACATCTGCAGATAGCGTCACTCTGATGACCTAATTGCCTTGCATGCAGCTCTCACCTCTTAAAACTTCCACCAATGAAGATCATCCACCATTGAAGATCAAATCATCAGCAGGTGAACCTTTGGGGACACACTTAAATCAAAACCGAATGATACTAACCATTTAAAAGATAATCAGAGATTCTTTCTCTGTGACCCTATAGTTTACAATAAAGCTGTTCTATTTGGGGATCATTCATTCTCTATGATATAGATAGTGGGTATGGAGTTCTGGTACCATTGCCTTTGTTAATATCAGAAAAAAATTTCTTCATTCAATACTGGCAGCTCCATTTTTTATTTGGTTTTTGCCCAGAAATTGCTTTGAGGGAGTTGTATCTTACTTCACATCTATGATGAAATGTGAATAACTTAAATCACCCTTATTGTTTACATGCCACTTAAAGACGTCTCATCCAATGAGAGAGCTTTTGTAAATCCATGCTGAGGATAATACTGTTGACCAGCCATGTTAAGTGGTTGTTTGCTGAGTTGAACTAGCTTTTGTTTGTAACAGTGTGCTTTAAAAAACAAGATGGAGACTGAACAGCTGGTTCTGGGGGACATGTGGCCATGATTCTCATTTTAATATTGAGACTCTTCCTCTCAGGTCCTCTGAGGTAGCACAGCATCATGGAGGAAGAATGTGGGCTTTGGATTCAGAAAGACCTGAGCTTGAGTCTAGGTTTTGAGTCTTGGTCCCTTCATCTATAAAGTGGATATAGTGCATGTTTTCGTATCTTTTCCTGTTGCTGTGATAAAATATTCTGACAAAAGTGAGTTAAGGGATAAAGGGATTCTTTTGGCTCAGAGTTCAAGGTAAAGTGCATCACGGTGGGGAGTTCATGGTACAATCCATCACAGTGAGGATAGTGAAGGCAGCAGAACTTGAAGCAGCTGATTACACTGCACTCACAGTCAGGAAGCAGAGAGCAGTGGATGCTAGTGCTCAGCATGCTTTCTCCATTTTACATGGTCTAGGATCCTGGCCTGGGGAATGGTCCTGCCCACAGTTAGTCTGGGTCTTCCCACATCAATTAACCTAATTGCTAATCCAGGTGATTCTAAATCCTGCCAAGTTGACAATCAACACTAACCCCCTCTGCGTGTGGCTTGGGAAAAAAGCTAATTTTATTATATCTGTTGCTGTTGTGTTAAATATTAGACTTCATGGTGCTATTTTGTTTTTTAATTCAGGTAGACCAAGGAGGACCCCACAGATAGAGGATTTGCCAGATCACATAGAAGTAAACACTGGGATATTTAACCCCACCTGCAAAGCCTCTGGGTGGCCACTACCCACTAATGAAGAAATGACTCTGGTGAAACCAGATGGGACAGTGCTCCAAGTAAGAGCCATTCTTCAGTATGCCCACCTGATACCATAAGATAGTTTCAGCACAGTAATCAGCCCCCAAAAGCTAGATTCCAGGCTTGCCTCCTCTCCAACTGGTGTGTTGTCAGCTTTGATAAGATGCCATGTTCCAGGAGATGTGGAACAAACTCACTGCAGTCTCACTAACTTCCTCTGCATGGACAGTGTATGGTGCAAGGCTGGGAATTTGCGATCACAGCGGAGTTGATGGAGCTGAGTGCCAAGGATGGCTCTCCTCCTACAGAACCATCCAGCTTGTGTGAACTGTGTACATATCAGGCCTTGCAAGGCTCTGCCTCACAATATCTCCATGTCTCTAACTCCTCATATCAGGGAGAGTAAGGTGGCATAGGGGCCACAGGGGTATTATAACCCATGAATTAGTAAGGCGTTCCTATGCCACTGTGACACTGGTTTTATAGTAGTACTAGGGATAAAGCCTAGGGCTTCAGTCCTGGTAGGTAACTGCTCTACCACTGAGCTACATCCCCAGCTCAGGACATGAAGTTTTAATGACTAGTCTACTTCTGTTCTGTTCTTCGGGTGCACAGAAGAGGAGAGTTCAGCATGATCTATTTGACTATACATGAAAATATTTTTTTGTGTCCTGCAACTTTGTTTATTAGATCTAAGAGTTTTCTAGTAGATTCTATAGAGTCTTTAAAGTATAGAATCATACAAAGAAGGGCAGTGTGACCTCTTCCTCTCCTATTTTTATCCCCCTTATGTCTTCCTCTTGTCTAACTGCTATAGCTAAGACTTTGAGCACTATATTAAATGAGAAGGGAGAGTGGGCATTCTTGTCTTGTTCCTGATTTTAGAGAAATAATCTCAGTTTGTCTCCTTTTAATGTAATGTTGGCTATAGGTTTGTTATAGATTTTGTTATTTTGAGGTGTGCTCCATCTGTTCCTAATGTCTCTTGGATTTTCATCATGAAGGCATGTTGAACTTTGTTGAATGGCCTCTTCAGCATCAATCAGGATGATTATGTCATTTCTGTCCTTAAATTTGTGTATATGGTGCGTTACATTTATTGATTTACATATGTGGGACCAAACTTGACTTTCTGGGATGAAGCCCACTTGGTCATAATGCATTATCTTAGTGCGATCCTTTGCTTTCTATTTTTGAACAAGTGAAGAAGAATTAGTATGAGATCTTCCTTGAAAGTTTGATAAAATTCAGTGTTGAATTCATCTGGTGCTGGGCTTTTTGTTGGGAGACTTCTGATTTTTTGATCACAGCTTCTGTTTCATTGCTTGTGATGGGTCTGCTTAAGTTATGCATATCTTCTGGTTTTAATTTTGGTGGTGATGTGCAGTAGAAGAATTTGGGGATTCTTCTATTCTAGATTTTCTAGCTTTTCAGAGTAAAAGTTTTGAAAAATAGTCTCAGTATATTCTATATTTCATTGGAGTAGATTGTAATGACATACTTTTTGACCTATAATTTCGTTAATTTGTGTCTTTCTTTTTGTCATGTTGGCTAATGATTTGTTGATCTTATTAACAAAAGTTAATTAAAGAACAAGCTGTATCAAAGAACCAGCTCTTTGATTGATTTTGTGCTTTGTTCTTTTAGTCTCTGGTTCATTAATTTCTTCCCTAATCTTTATTATTTCTTGATGTCTTCTGGGATTGGGACTGGCTGCTGGCTGTTTTTCTGAGAGCCTTGAGGTGCATCATTAGATTGTTTATTTGATATCCCTCAGATTTTTTTTGCTATTGTTGGGAACACTTATCACTATGAACTTTCCTCTTAGGACTGCCTTGGCTGCATCCCAGAGGTTCTGATTGGTTGTGTTCTCATTATAATTTGCCTCTAGGAATTTAAAAATTATTTTTTTATTTATTTGATAATTTTGTACAATGTATTTTGATTATATCCAGACCCTCTAGGAATTTTTTAATTTCCTCTTTGATTTCTTGGATGACTCATTGTTCATTCAGAAATGTATTGTTTAGTCTTTGAGTATCTTTGTGGTTTCTGTAGTTTGTCTTGTTAATTTCCACTTTTATTCCATTGTGGTCTGATAGGATACAAGGAATTACCCACTATCTTTGTATTCATTCGATTTGCTTTGTTTCCTTTGATATGATCAGTTTTGGGGGTCTTGGGGATGTTTCATGTGCCATTGAGAAAAACGTGTATTCCTTGTCTGGTGGGTGAAATATACTGTAAATATCTGTTGAGTTGATACAGAGTGTATTTTAGCTCTGAGATTTCTTTAGTGTTTTTAGTTTGGAAGGCCTATCTAAATATGAGAGTGGTGTAATGAACTGCTTAGTATTATTGTGTGAGGACCTATAATGATCTTTTCTGCCTTTTAGTGTTTGTTTTATGAAATTAGGGACTCTAATATTAGTTGAATAAATGTTTTCAATTGTTATATTTTCTTGATGAATTGTTTCTTTTGTTAATGCAAAGTGTTCCTTTTTATCTTTTGTAATTATTTTTGAAGTTTATTTGCTATTAGGACAACTATGCCTACATGCCTATGGTTAAGGGCAGCTGTGCCTGCATGTCTACGGTTTCCATTGGCTTGGTGGTTTGTTTTCTGTCCTTTGATACTCAGCTTTTAGATAACTTTTTTGGTTAGGTGGTTTGAACAAGAATGTCTCTCATAAGCTCTTAGTCTTTGGACATTTTACCCCTAGTTGGTGGTGCTGTTTTGGAACGTTTTAGGAGGTGCAGCCTTGCTGGAGGAAAAGCACATCACTGGAGGTGGGCCCTGAGAGTTTATAAGCCTGCTTGAAGATGTGATCACTTGGCTCCAGCCCATCTCTGCCACCATGTTTCCCCACCATTGTGGACTCTAACCCTCTGTAACATAAGCCCAACAATTTTTTCCTTCTATAAGTTTCTTTGGTCATAGTGTTTCATCATAGCAACAGAAAAGAAAGTAATGCAGTAAGTTTCTGGGAGACATATAACTGATTCTTGTTTTTAATCTAGTCCATTAGTTTATGTTTATTATTTTTTTTTATTTTATGTGTATGAATGTATTACCTGAATATATGTAAGTGCACTGGTGTTGTGCAATGTCTGGGGAGGTCAGAAGAGGGTGTTGGATCCCCTGGAACTGTAGTTATAGACAGTTGTTAGCTGCCATGTGGGTGCTGGGAACGGAACCTGAGTCCTCTGTAAGAGCAGCCAGTGATCTTAACCGCTGAGCCATCTTTCCAGCCCCGGTCTATGTTTTTAAATGGTAAGTTGAGACCATTTACATTTATGGTTATTACAGAAATGGGTTTCCTATTTCCTATAAATTTGTTTGGCAATGTTATGTTTTGATGAATTATTGATATTTATTTTCATTCTTCCATATTAGTTTTGAGACTTGGCTGAGTTGCTGTGTTAGACGTGGTTGTTTTTTTCTTTTCTTTTTTTTCCCACTATGTCTGGTTTGTTTATCTGTTCTTTTATGGGATGTATATATTCATGTCTTCACTTGGAGGAGACGATCTTTCTTCTTCCTCCCTGTAAAGTATTCCATTAAATATATTGAACTCCACGCTCTTCTGACTTGTGTGGTTGTTGATGAAAAGTCATGAGTAGTTCTGATATTTCTGCCTTTGTATGTGAGCTGATTTTTTTCTTGTGCTGCTTTTAGGATTCATTCTTTATTTTGTATTTTTAACATCCTAACTATGATCTGTCATGGAGAGCTGATTCTCTGATCATGTCTACTTAGAGCTTGAATGTTTACTTCTTTCTCTAATTTTGAGAAGTTTTCTGCTATAATTTTGTTAAATAGTCAGTCAATTCCGTTTGATTTTATCTCTGTGCCTTCTATACCACAGATTCTCAGTCTTGGCCTCTTGAGTGTATCCAGACTTCTTGGAAATTTCATTTATGCAGCTTAATACTTTTCCTTGTATGTCTGTTGGTATTACTGTCTTGACCTTGTCCCCCATACCTGACATTCTTCTGCATCTTATCTGTCAATGATGGTATGTATCTGTTGTGGTTTCTATTTGATTGACCAGAAGACCCCAGCTCTTTCACTTCAAGAACTGCTGTTTGGTTATTTTCAGTGTTTAAGTTTCTTTACTGAATTTTTCCTCCGTATTTTGGACATCCACTTCCAATTCATTTTGGAGACTGTCTTATTGAGGTCTTATATGGAATCCCGTAACTCATGCATCTGTTTATTTCTTCTATGTGTTCATTAGTTCTTTTAAAAAGCAAAATTATGAATTCTTTCCCAGGCATTTCAGCTATGTGTGTAGTTTTGATTCTCTTACAAGGGAGTTGGTTGGTTGGAATGGGATGTGGGTGGTGGTTGTGTCATATTCTTTGGGCTTCTTCGTCGTGCTTTCCACATCTGCTGGAGTGGGCTTGCCTTTGAGTTTTGACTTCCCCTTCTTTGGGTCTATTTGGGTGTTTTGTTTTCTGGGATTCCTCTAAGAGAGATACCTGCATGAGGCTCAGCCACAGGGACTGGTGAGACCTGGCATTGACTGACAAGCGGAGCCCCCCAGGTGATCCTGTCCTGACCATGTACCTACAGGACCAAGGGTGGGTGCTTCACATCAGACTCCAAGGCAACCAGGTGAAATCACTGTCCTGTTACCCCTTGGACTCTGTTAACCAGCTGGGGACAGGACAGCAAACGTCTGACACACTGAAGTCTATAAACTATCTGAGGGCTGTGGTTAGTGCCCCAGGCCCAAAGTAACCTCTGGGACCACAGCAGTGTAGACTGCCAGTCCTGGAGTGGTCACCGGAACATCATAAATCAAGATCCCACATCCATACTGTCATTAGAGACCACTGGAGCTAATCCCTGGTCTCTTGGGGAACCCTGGGTACCCTGTTGCCAAAGCTCAGGCTCTATATTGACCCTGAGGGCACCAGTACTGGAGGCCTGGTTCCATGGTGCTCCAAGGTCCCTTTGGAGCCAAGGGTCTAGTTCCAAGGTGCTATCCGGAACTGTTGAAGCAGAAGATCTGTTCACACAGTGCTTTCTGGTCCTGTGGGAGCAGGAGGCCTTGTCACAGGGTGCTCTCGATCTGCTGGAGCTGGAAGCTTGGAAGCACAGTGTTGCTAACAGTAGCCAAAGTGTCCTTCAGAAGCCAAAAGCCTGTTTGTGAGGCACTCTCTGGTCCTGCCAAAACTAGTTAATCCTCTCTCCTTTCCAGCACCTCAACTCTCCAATCCTCCCACCTTCCTCACTGTGTAAACCTCACCACCCAGAATTCCCCTCTACTTCCCTTTTACATTGTGTTTTACTATCTGCCTTCACTAAGGCCCCCTCAACGTCTCCGTAGTTCTTTGTCTACAGAGGTACTGGTATTCCCTGTTAAGCAAACAGAACTAGAGTTGAAAGTAGGACCCGCATATGGGAGCGTACAGGTGGCATTTGTCTCTTGGGGTTTGGGTTACCTTGCTCAGTATAATTTTTTCCAGCTCCACCTTTTTCCCTGAAAACTTCAAACTTTCATTTTTCTTTAGAGCTGAATATATTTCATCATGTATAGGTATCAGACTTTCATTATCCGTTTGTCAGTAGATGAACATTTGGGATGCTGTTGTGAACAGAACAATAATGAACACAGTTTTCTCTCTTGTAGGGTATACAATCCTTTGGGTATATGCCCAGAAATGGTATATCTGGGTCTGAGGGTTCACAGTATCAGTTGCTCTGTGATTGGGTTTTGTGCTTAGTTTGCTTATTAAGTGAGGTCATGAGTCCCTGAATCTTCTTGATACATGTTGATATGCAACATCTGCACATTGAAGACATTTTTCTAGCCTTGTAACCTGGTTTTGTGTGTGTGTGTATGTGTGTGCCTCTCCTTTCTGAAATGCTAAGCAATGTACTTGCTCTAAATCTGTAGACACTTCTTCTGTTTTAGCACTAGATGGTACCCCACTTCCCAGATGCTCTAAGTCTGCTGTTGGTGTGATGTCACTGTTTCAGCACTAGCAGATAACCCCAAGCCTAGATCAGCCTCAAATCTAGTTGGAGTAATGTTCAGAATGAATTGGAGGAATGCCTAAAAAGGGTAATCTGTACCCACAAGCCTCCGCCTGGGGCAAGATAGGTCCAGCTATCTCTCCAATATGTTGTGCTCAGGTGGTGTAGGCTTCTTCCTGGTTCTGGGCCTCACTGTGGAGGAACTGACCCCTTGCTTCTATACGATGACTTCTTCCACCAGTTACTGTATGTTCTGCTGTCTGGGCTGGGAGAGAAATAGGGTGGGCAGTCCCATGGCTACAATACTGCAATGCAGTAACAGTAGCAGGGTAACAGCCTGCTGAGACCAGCATAGCATAGGGGCAAGACCGAGGTCCACCTTGTTGTGGGATACCAGCTGCTAGGTGGATTCATGGCCCAAGACCACTGCAACCAGCCAGAGTTGATACTGGTCAACTCTGAGTAGAATTCCAAGTCACTGGAGCTATGGATCCCTACCTGTCACCAGTATGGATCCAGAGGTGCTGTTTGCAGCCAGTATCCCAAGAACAGGGGCCATTAGGATCTACCTCATGTTAGGTTTCCAAGCCACAATTCTGGGCTGACTTTCCTGCCCTACCATCAATGGGATGAGACTTGCTCATGATGTGTCCACCAACATTGAGGGAAGGATGGTAGAGGGAGTCCCTTGGTCACTCAGGCAATGCTCAGCTGGATCAACATGTGAGTCACACGAGGGCCTACACTGTTTTAGTAGTTAGTGTGAGTCTCACACTATGGCTGTCAACAATGCAGCTGAAACACAAATCTGTCACACCAGGAGATACATGATTCCACCTGGTGCCAAGGCGGGTCTGGAGACTTTGTCCTTGAGCACTGATCTCAGGATAGGGGCATTTGGGATCCACTTTGTGCTAAGTCTCACTGAAGTCTAAGGCTTGAACTTGATCTCCTCTCTCCCAAGTGGTAGGTATCTCCTTCCACACTATGCTGGTTAGAGTTGGGGATGCGATCATGCCAATTAAGCTTACTCGCCTACCTTTCTCAATATACCTTTTCTGATTTTTATAAAACCTGGCACTGTGGCCTCTTACCTGGGCTCCCTTAGCTCTGCCTGTGAAGACAGTTTAGTGAGTGAACAGCTGGCTCTTCTCGTTGATTGGTCTGTGAAGAGACCATTGCTGGAACATCATTTTAAAATTTTTTGAGAATTTCATACATGTGACTATATTTATATCATTTCCAACTCTCCCTCTTCCCCACTCCAGTTCTTCCCATGCCCCCCATTCTCTCTCAATTTGTGATCTTTTCTTAAGTTGTCACACATATGCATACACACACACACACACACACATGCACATGCACACACACGCACACACACAAAACCTACTGAGTCCATTTAGTGGTGCTGGTATGTACATGTGTTTAGAGCTGAGTACTTGGGATTGAGATCTTGTCCTTGAGGAAAACTGATTCTCTTTCTTAGCAGCCTGGATTGCCTGCAGCTTTTCATCTAGAGGTGGGACACTGGCATGTCGACTGGTGTTGCCATCATGCAGATCTTGTTTAGGAAATCTTATAGTTGAGATCTCATGGGTGCAGCGTCCCCGTCATTTCTAGTAGACACTGTCCAGCAGCAGGTGTCCTGGGCTCTGGCTCTTACGATCTTTCTGCCCCATCTTATGTGATGTTCCTGGACCTTAGCTGTGAGGGTTGTATTGTAGGCATCAGCCGGGGCTGAGCAGCCTGTGGTCACTTTTCTCTGCATTCTGACCAGCTGTGGATTGCTGTAATAGTCTCCACCTGTTGCAAAACAGGCTTTTTTGATGAGTGGTGAGAGCTACATTTGTCTATGGGTATAGGGATCAAAATTTAGACTATAATTAGAAACTATATTGGTCTAGGAAAGTCACCGTAGTGTGTTTTCATTTGGGGTCTATCACTTCTCTTGCCACAGTACCAGGCATGAATTTGAGTGGGCCTTAAGTCCAATTAGATTGCTGTTGGTTGTCCCCAAGATAAAAATGCCATTATTCCACCATTAGGGATGTTTTTCGGGACTGTGATCCGTAGGTTTTACAGTTAGGTAGGACTAGTGATTGCTTTTATCCCTTGGCAGCTTGCATAGCTGATGCAATGAGACCTAGTCTGCAGGGAGGAGGTTAGTTCCAGCTTGGTTCCTTCAAGTCCTACATCCAGAGGATGGTGTCATCAGCAATAGGGTCACCTTCAAGCTCGGGGAGGCAATCAAGGATTTGAGACTGTGCTGGAGTATCTCAGCTTGCTCCTTACCCATAACTTCTTAGCATTGCTTGTCCCCTTTTTACAGAAGAGGGAACTGGCTAGGTGAGAATAGGAACCTGAGGGACTGGACGAAGGGAGTAGCGATCCATGTGTCTTCAGAGCTCTGGCTTTTCCCAGCGCACCGTGCCTGACAGCCCCCCAAGTGTATAGGAAGCCGCTCTGTCCTCCCACTCAGCCATCTCTGTATTAGACTGGAAAAGAACCAATTCTGCCCAGAGCAGTTTAAAAATCTCCTTGCTTCTAAGTGTTTACCTTACGCTTCCAAGCTCAAATACAACAGCAGGATCTGGGAGGGCACCAAGCCAATGTAAACTTTCAGGGCTGCTACAGTAGCTTTGGAAACGAGCCCGTGATTACATTAGCCTTGCACTTAGCCTCTTAATCTCTCCTAGAAAACACAGTCAACAATGCAACGGGGTAAATGTTATGGACCTTTGTGTTTAAGCATCTCAAGAAGTTCTAACTTTTTGTGTGTGTGTGTGTGTGTGTGTGTGTGTGTGTTTGTGTGTTTTATGGTTCTAGCCAAATGACTTCAACCAAACAGATCATTTCTCAGTGGCCATATTCACCGTCCACCGAATCCTTCCTCGTGACTCAGGAGTTTGGGTTTGCAGTGTAAACACAGTGGCTGGGATGGCAGAAAAGCCTTTCAATATTTCTGTTAAAGGTAAGTTTCATTTGCCACAAGAAGAGCTTATGTTCTTGAAGTGCTGTGTCCATGCACTGCCGTGGAAGTATGCAACTTCTAGAGCTGAGTTGTTTTCTAGCATGTTGAGTGTTATATGCAGGAGGACTCAGCGTGGTGGCACAACCCTGTATTCTCAGCACTTGGAATGTGGAGTCAGGAAGGATCAAGAATTTAAGGCCCGTTTGGCTACATGGCAAGTTCAAGGCTAGCCTGGGTTACATGAAACCCTATCTCAAAGCACAAGCACAGATCATATGCATAAAAGCAGAATGAAAATTTAAGAGTTCCACCTTTGGAGCCAACACAGCTCTGAGTTTGATTTTGTCCTTAATAGTTTGTAATCTTTTATGTGACCTTGAGCAAATGAACTTAGCCTCCTTGAGCCATTCTTTACTTGTTAATGAAGCTTAGTTTGTCTACCTCTTAGGGTAGGATTTGTTAAACACATAAAATACTTGAAATAGTACCTGGCATTGCATGTGCTTTATGAAAGTTTAGCATTGTCCTTTTTGTGACTTCTCGTATTGAGAATGGTTTAGAGTCTCTTTATCTGGGGGAATACTCACTTAATATGGAGTTTGCTACATAGTCAACATGAATGGGCTTTCATGTATTCAAGGTTAATGGTATTCCTCCTATCACAAATTGACACACCAAATCTGAATTAATCTGAATGGATGTATGTACGTTTGTGGCTTGAGAGGAAGAAATGAATTGAAGATAGGTCTAAGCTTACTTGGTTGGCGTACTTATTTAGGCAGAAACAGCTTTCTGGTGTATATTTGAGAAAAGGCCCTAGGCATCCCACACTTGTTAATCCTTGAAGGACATTGCTCATTGGATACTTTTTTTTTTTTTTTTCTGTTTTTTTGAAGCAGGGTCTCCCTGTAGCCCCAGCTGTCCTGGAACTTACTAACATTGCTCATTAGATACTTTTTTTTTTTTGTCTTTTTGAAGCAGGGTCTCCCTGTAGCCCCAGCTGTCCTGGAACTCACTATGTAGACCAGGCTGGCCTTGAACTCACAGAGATCTGCCTGCCTCTGCCTCCCAAGTGCTGGGACTACAGGTGTGTGCCACCACGCTCGGCTAACTTTTATCTCCATTTTGATAGCGACAGAGCACAACAGAGGATTAAGTGAACTTGTTTTTAAGACCAAGAACCCCAATTCCATAAATGCATCCTCATAGATTTGAATTCTCTTCTCTAAGAATTATGTAAACCATTCTGAAATCCTTACTGCTCTTTTGATTACAGGAAAAAGCCCAAATCTGTTCTATTCAGTAGAGCATTCATATAATCAAAATAATTTCTAACATCTTGAATGTTCTTGGAAGAAAGGAAATGCTATGCACACAAGGAAAATTATTTGACACAAGGAAAATAAACAAGTTGAAAACAAATCATTTTGCTAATGTACAAGGCAGTCACTGGTTATAATCTTTCTTTTGTAATCAAAGACAGTACACTTGAGATCAATGCACAGAAACATTTCCATTCTAAGTCATGGATGCATCTACTGTGTCTCTCAAATGGAAATAGACATTAGGGAAATCAATCAGGCCCTATGATTATAATATTGCTAAAGTTAAATACTAGCTTGGCTTTATATTAGAACACAGATTGGTACAGTGACTTTGAAAAATGACAGTACCCTTGGGAGCTAAACATGACATGTACCTATGACCAGCAAATTCTACTCCAACCATATACTCAAAAGAAAGGAACATGTATGTTGAAAAAGGCATCTTGAAGAATTTTCAGTGAGGTTTTTAATATAAGAGTACCAAACTGAAATTAATTCATGTGTTTATTGATATTGTAAGGCATTAAACTGTAATACTGATTATTCACCATTAGTATTTGCTTGGGCTGGCTGGCTTAAGCAGTGGATCACCTTTCATTCAGCCAGTGAATAGAATGTCCTGCAGGCCTTCCAGGTCTTAGTCCCTGTAGACATAGTAGTGAGCAGGACAGGGGCAGGTCCTCTCCTCTCATGGAGCGTGCATTCATACGGGGAGATGAGCAGTGAGCAAGTGCATGAGTAAAATGCATAGTTTACTAAGATGCTGAGTACCACAGACAAAACCAAAGCAGAAATAGCCGAAGGATGCTGACACAGGGCTGCGGGGGTGGGGTAATTTTGCGTGGGGCAGCTATGCCTTCCTGAGATGGTATTGTAGCAAAGATGTAAAGGTCCTTTCCAAGGATGATGAACTGAAGCTCTGAGACAGAGGGAAAGGTACAGTTACTGAGTATGGAGCTGTCTGTGACATCTGAAATGCCCATGATTTAAACACATTCCTAGGGAGGGAAAAACACCAGCTATGCATTTCTAGGAAGGTCCGTTTCTAATAGAGCTATGGAGCTCACTGGAATTTCAGCTGACAGATACTTACTTAGCACCTGGTAGGTGTTGTGCAAAACTATACTGTCATTGCCTGGTGGTGGTTTAGGGTCTGGTGCAGTGTGTAACCTGCCTTTTCATTACCATCTCACTTACTGAGAAGTTTTTTTAGAAAATTTCCCTCATCAGATGTACTAATCTGTTTTTGTACTGTGACTCTTGTGATATCAAATGAATGCCAACCACTATACTATTAAGATAGCTCATCCCTCCAAAAACCAACTTCCAGCTCCTTGGGAGTTTTATCCTATCTGCTCCACTAAGAACTCCAATTTAACACTGGGGGATTATTCTAGATTACCCAGTGGACCTACACTAATCCGTTAAGTCCTTTGAGGATGATCGTCATCAGGGAAGAAAGGTTAGAGAGACCTGACATTGTTGGTCTTGAAGCTGGTGGAAGAAATAGTGTGATGTTAGTCCAGACTCATGTCTGACTTCTGACTTCCACAATGGTAAAATAATACATTTATGGTGAGTGAGAATGGCTGAATGAGAAATGAATGAATGAATGAACGTATAGGGTGTAGTGGGTGGGAGGACCAATAACAAAGGAACAAAGGATCCTACTAACTTACAAAGAATAATAAACACAAAATTACAATGAAGGGTAATGCAGTTTCTGAGGTCGTGTAACACATGTACCCATTTAAGACTCTTGAATGGCCCTTTTATTAAAGAACGTGAGAACTGAGTCAAATCTGTAGGAAGAGTGAATCGAGAGGCTAAGGGAGGCAGGGTATTCCTTGTAGGGGAACAACGGCAGTAAAGACCTAAACGGAAAGGCACTTCATGCTGCTACTTGGACGAGCTGGTACTGGACGGTCCTGGGTAAAGGGAACAGGAGGCTGGAGAGTAGACAGGAGCAATGTTGGGGCCTGGCTGATCATGGTACAAAGTTTAGATTTAATCCCTCATGGAATGAGAACCCACTAGAGAGTTGTGGCAGGAGGAGTGTTTTTTTAAAACATGTTGACCGTGGATGGTGATGAAAGTAGGATCAAAGCAGTGCTCTCAGAGTAGGTGATGAGATCTGAATCGAGCAAAGAGCTCTGAGGGGAAATCTGTTACCCCCACTGAAGGACAAAAGCGGACCCCAAAGTCTAAGGATTAATCTAATTGCTGAAATTTTATTCAGTTCTTCCAAAGCCCCTGCATGCCCCAAATGTAATCGACACTGGACACAACTTCGCCGTCATCAACATCAGCTCTGAACCTTACTTTGGGGATGGACCAATCAAATCCAAGAAACTTCTCTACAAACCTGTTAATCATTACGAGGCCTGGAGACACATTCAAGGTAAACTTGGAATGAGAGTGACTAGACCAGTCAAGAGATCTGGCACCAGGAAAAAATTTTCCCCAGGTCTCGAAAGTCCGGTCTCCCTGCATCATCTGATTCCGCACTTCAGTATATTTTGGCACGTGAGAGGGTCCTGGGAGTTCTGGGGTTGACTTTGTGAATGCCTGAGCACCAGAGGACAGACCCAGTCGGCACTGGGATTGCTATCGGTATCAGCATTCCTTTAGGACTTTCTAGGCCTGCAGTCCTGTGTTTAGAACTCCCGTCATGTCTGGTGGTGGTGGAAAGTACGTGTTTTCAGCATGAATGTGAGAGCAGGTCCGGGAGTTGGCTTGACTCTTGAGGGTAACGTTTCTGCTGTGTTGAATTGCTTCTTTATTATTCATGTCTGGTCCCGATGACTCAACACAAAGAGGGGTTCATAGAAATTTGAGCCCTGAGAAATTTAGGTTGTAGAAGATAGGACTGGGGTTGAGGTGAAGAGAGGGATCCACACGGCAGTGAGCGCTGGACACCCCTCCCCAGCTTCTCGAGAGACAAAAGGGCCAAAGTTCATAAAAAACTAAAGACTTTATCTGCTCCGTGGCAGTGTAAAACCGTAATTTGAAAACCGTAAATTAAATACAGTATCACCAGTTGCCATGCTGTTTTAATTGCGTTATCTTGCAGACAGACTCAGCTGCTAGCAGGCACTGGGTACCCTTCCACTAATAATTTCAGCATACTAGACTTAAGAGTCCCTCAAAAGGGTCTTTGGCTTACTTGAGAAAGTTATTTTAAAAGTAAGAAAAAGAGGGTTTGGGCTCAATAAGGCAGCTGTGCTTGATACACTGAATAAAATAATGGATTATTTCTGAGCTCTTGACATTTTATCATAGATTCAGCCCAAATTTGGAATCTCGAGGCTGTAAGGTTGAGCTTTAGGACTACTGTTTCCAGCATTAGTAGCTGGGTCTTTTTTTGTTTTATTTTGGCTTTTTGGTCATATGGTTGCAATAAAAATGGTCTTCTAAGAACTGTTAAACAAGTACAATAGTTTTTTCTTACCAATTAGCACTTTATCATAAAGTAAATCAGAAATTAACCTTTGCAACATCCATAGAGATAGAGAGGCCAGAGAAAAACAAATGGCTAAGGGGCTGGAGAGCTGGCTCAGCGATCAAGAGCACTGGCTGCACTCACATGGCAGCTAACAACTATTTATAACTCCAGTTCCAGGGAAATCTAATCCCCTCTTCTGATCTCCGCAGGCATTCATGACTTGGGCGCTCTTACCTGCGTGCAAGCAATACACTCATACACGTAAAATAATAATAAATAAAATATTTTTTTAAAAAAAGCTAAGAGAAAAGCACATGCCATCTATGTTTTGGAACTATTTTCAAGGGACCCTAGAATCATTGAGGATATGGCTTTCAAAACCAGATGTCTAGTGGCATTTAACAAATTTTCGCAGAACTTTCCCTCAATAGTTTGAATGTAATCAGTGTCTATCTTTGACGACGGTGAAAATAAAATTATTTTATATTATGCTAGTTAAGCCACCCCACAATTCTGGAATTCTGTATGACTGGTTTATAAAGTTTAATTTTGTAAATGAAAATGCAGATGCACTAAATCAGGAATGTGTTGAAGCGTATACAAAGATGCATAGACAGATGTGCTAGGAGATACATATACTAATGTATACACTGTAACTTGGAAACAGCCTCCCAAAACCCTGGTGTGCCTTATATTGGAAACTATAAGTCTTTGCAGATGGAACTGTTTCTTTATTTCACTAAGATGTGTTTTTAAAAACCTAAATTTAGTTCACATTGCTATAAGAGCCACCATGGTTTAAAGAACTGCCCTGTTCTGACTTTTTTCTAGTTCCCTGTCTAGAACTTGTAATGCTATTACTCTTGCCTTTACTTCTCCCTCACATCTCCTATTCATGATTCAAGGACTTTCTTCTCCCCTTAAAGACAAGAGTTATGCAATTTGGGAGTCTTTTAGATAGACCCACTGGAGGGATACTCCAATTGCCTCACCCTGCGTCCCTGTTCAGCATGGAAGGAGTCTGCATCCCTATTCCCTATTGGCAATTTGGGTAGCCCCTTCAGAGGATGTCGTGATAAGAATAGGAGGTAGGAATTGGCTAGGCAGTTAGGGTAAAAAGACCCCAAAGAAATGTGAAAGTTTCTTGGCTAAAAGTAAAAATGTCCTTGGTCCTGTTAACAACATACCCTGTTCCAAAGGCCAAAAATGTCAAAAGTATTTGGGAGTTTGTATCTAATCCTTAAGAGATTTTAGGGTTACCTCTTCAGAGGGGGGAATGTTGGAGGGGAGGGAGTGGGCATGGATTTGATCAAAACACCTTATATGCATGTATGAAATTCTCAATAAAGTTTTTGTAAAAGTTAAAAAAAAAAGAATACAACAGAATACAAACTGAAGTTTCCTGAACTTTCTCTCCTCTCAGTGACAAATGAGATTGTTACACTCAACTATTTGGAGCCTAGAACTGAATACGAGCTCTGTGTGCAGCTGGTCCGTCGTGGAGAAGGTGGAGAAGGGCATCCTGGACCCGTGAGACGGTTCACAACAGCTTCGATTGGTCAGTTGCAGCCGACAAGCGTTTATTCCTGAGCTGGGTGGGAGGGGGAGGAAGGGGAAAGAGGAAGGAAGACCAGGAAGGGTGGTGGTGGGTGAGTGGGTGGGTGGGGATGGAGGTGGAAGGACTTTGCTGTGGAATGGGTGGGAAAGTGACAGGAAAGCTATCCACTTCAAGCCAAACAGATCCTTTATTTGGGCTGGACACATGATCTGTCTCCTTGGGGGAGGGGGTGTGTGGCCATCCAGGAGGACAGGGAAGGAAGCAGATGAGCCTTCAGGAAGGCAAGGGCATCCCTTAGGACTCGAGATTTGCTTAGCAGCAACTGTGCTGAGCTTTGGCTTCTCTGTCTCACCCCCAGCTTCCTGTTTCCATCCTCAAGGATCCACACCAGGCTTCTGCTACAAATACACTTCAGAAATAAAAGTTTATTTATTTTTTAAAAAAGTAATTTCTATTTTTCAAAGTAATTCATGCACATAGTTCAAACATCAAATAGAAGGAAAGGCTTTTGTCTGAAGAACAGTGTTGGTCCACCCCTCTGCCTCCCTGCCCTGCTTCCTATAGGCAACTGTTTTCTTGTTAAGCTGTTTCTTACCATATTTACCTTCATGTCGCTAAGTCAGCGGTCAGCCAGAATCACCTGGAGAGTTAAAACAGATTGCTCACTCCACTCCCAGAATTTTTGGTCCAATAGGTTTTGGGTAAGGCTAGGGCTCCATAATTTGGATTTCTAATAAATTCCCAAGTGATTTTTGATGCTGCTGGCCCTGAGTCCACATGTTTTGGAGACATTTCTTTTTTTGAGATAGGGTTTCAATCTGTAGCCCAGGCTGGCCTGGTAGTCAACTACCTAGCCCAGGCTGGCTTCTAACCCATGGGAATTCTCATGCTTTGGCCTCTTCAGTTCTTGGATTACAGGCAGGAGCCACCATGCTTTGTAGAAACATTTCTTGATTCATTAGACTATCTACAGAAGCTCTTGGTTTCTGCAGTGTCCCTGACGCTAACCTGGGCTCTCTCTTTCTACTACTTGGTGTGCTCCTCTGAAATTCTGGAGTGACCTTTTGTAACACTCTTTTTGTTCTTTGACTTGCTCATTGTGTATAATCATCCTGTTACTACCTCCTGGTCAGTTACAAGTTCCTGCTTATTTAATTCACACTACCCCACGTTACAAACAGCAGGATATAATAGTTTCCAGATCCAGAGGCTTTTTCCTTCTGTATTAGTTTTCTTGTCACTATGAACAAAATTCTTGGGACAACAATTTAGGGAGGAAAGATTTCTTTTGACTCATGGTTTCAGAGGTGTCAGTCCATGGTCCCTTGGCTCCCGTGGGTGGGCAGAGCATATTGGTGGGGGGGTATGTGACAAAGGTAACTTCTTTCCCCTATGGTGGAGAGGAAATAGAGTGAGGGAGAGGAAAGGCCAGGCACCAGCTACTTCTAAAGACCACCTCCAATGACTTATCTTCTAGCTAAAGTTTCTAGACCCTCCTAAAATAGAATCGCCCCTTGAGAACCAAGCCTCCAATACATGACTGATTTAGGGGGACAGTTTGTATCTAAACTACAGCAGCTTCCAAACCTAGAGGCTTTTAACTCTAAGCCCCAAGAACCAAGCTCCAAAGGTAGAGGCTCGGTTCTCTAGGTCAAGGCAGAGGCTTATTGCCCAGCGCTTAGAGCACCATCTCCTCGCAGCAAACTTCCAGCTCTTGAATTCTGGGTATTGGGACTCTGAGCGCTTTGTCTCAGTGGTTCCTTTGAGTTCTTCTAGTGACTGGGCCTTGTAGGCCTTGTGGCCACAGCGCCCTTTGTCAGCTCTTTACAGCCTGTTTTCCGGAGTCCCAGCTTCTCTGCTGTCTCGCGCCTTAATGTTTCTACTGGCCTCTAAACTTCTTGCTGATTTTGACCTCCATTGCTCTCAACTCTTTCATTGTTTAAGAAATGGCTTCAGGAACCCATCAGGCTGTGAATAAAAATAAAATAAGAGGGGCTGGAGAGATGGCTCAGCAGTGAAGAGCACTGGCTGCTCTTACAGAGGACCTGGGTTCAATAACCATCCTAACTCCAGTTCCAGGGAATCCAACATGCTCTTCTTACCTCTGTGGGCACTGCAGAATATGAGTGCACTTACACACAAGCAGGCAATGCACTTATACACATAAAATAAAAATAATAAATAAAATATAAAAATAAAATAAGCGCATAGACGGTTTAGAGAAGATAAAGGTATCCATCTCTCTGACTTGAGTAAAACAAGTTTTGCCACGTCGTCATGCTGCTAAGAGGACCGTGGCGGTTGATTCTCCTTCAGGTCAGTGTGGACACATCAAAAGAGGAATGCCATGATCTGACTCAGATGGAAAGTATTGATGGGACAGAACGCAAAACACTTCACAGACCCATAGCACTGTCTTCAGACCTCAGAATATGTTCCAGCCAGGATGTGTTTAGAGGCCTCTTGGAATATCTCAAAGTACCTCTGGGGGTGGGTGGGAACAGAATGCGGGAAGGTTCCCCTTTTCCCACCATTTGAATTTTTCTGATGCTTCCTTTTTAATACATCTGGCACTTGCACTATCTGTGTTTCGATTAAGGTGGGGAAGGCCAGTGAGACCAGGAGGGAAGAGAGCTCATTCTGAACTCTTTGCAGAAAAAAAGAGCTCACAGCAGTAGGTGAAGGGTGACTGTGTTCCCAAAGGAAAGGAAAAGGTGAAGTGGTATTTGAAGTTTCTCCCACTCTCCGAGATACTGGCTTAGGAATTTTACAAGTATTTTCCAGCATTCCTGATGTGTGCTGCCCTGTCATCTAAGCTGCCTAAGCACTCTGATTGACTATGCTGGAATTTAAACTCTAGAGACTAGCAAAAGACTAGACATCACCTCTTTTGATTTGCCTGTATGTTAGGGGCAGAATCAGTAAGACTTTTAGCATAATGCTAAACAAATGTCTGCCTGATGGCCAGTTCTCACTAGTCTAAGAGCAGTTAGAACTCTGGGGACTTAGATCAAAAGGGATCCTTTCTTCATCCTACAAACAAGAGTTAGAGGTATTTTCCAAATTATTTTTTTTAAGTCATACCTTAAAGTGCTGGAGTTTTTTCTTTTTTTGAAATATTGGTCCTAGTAGACTCCGCCTCCTATAATGTTTAAATGCCACAGATGCACTGCCCATCTATTTGTGTATTATGACTGTTTTTAAACCATTGTGATGACTTAAAATGGTCTCAAACTCTAAGAATCAATTTTTATCTTGTTAATAGTGATGATACCACTACCATGAATTTATTAATAAAAGGTTCTTTCCCCTATCCTTTAAAAGAACTTTATAGGCTGGGCGTGGTGGCGCATGCCTTTAATCCGAGCACTCGGGAGGCAGAGTCAGGCGGGTCTCTGTGAGTTCAAGTCCACCCTGGTCTACATACTGAGTTCCAGGATAGCTGGGGCTACAGAGAGACCCTGTCTCAGAAAGACCAAAAAAAAAAAAAAAAGTAAAAAAGAAAAAAAGAACTTTTTAGATCTGGAACTTAAATCAATTAAAAACACACATCCTCTTCCTCTGTTCACTGACAGAAGATAGGGAAGGAAAGGAAGGCGGGAACAAGTGTTAATAGAGCTGCCTAAACCTTCCAAACACTTTCACGCCCTTTATGGCATTTATTCACCTGTCTGGGAGATATTTCCATTTCATTCTCCAGGTGAACTTAAGTTATGAGTTTGACACAGGTTACAAAGTAGAAGAGCTATGCTCCTGTTTCTCTGATTAAAAAACCCACATTATGAGCCAGGCATGGTGGCACACTCTTTTAATCCCAGCACTCAGGAGGCAGAGGCAGGTGCATCTCTGTGAGATCAGGTGTCTATAGCTGATGCCATTATGGGACTAGAATGGGGCAAGGGCTGGCCCAGCCTTCGCAGCTGTTGTGATGTCTGAAATTCGTCTTGCTAAGAGGAATTTAAAGCTTAAAATGTCTCGTCTGTAGTCCCAGCACTTGGGAGGCAGAAGCAGGTGGATCTCTGTGAGTTCAAGGGCAGCCCGGTCTACATAGTGAGTTCCAGGACAGCTGGGGCTACAGGGAGACACTGCTTCAAAAAGACAAAAAAAATAATAATAAAAATAAAAATAAAATTATAGAAAGGGTAACCAAGCAAAGCCCACTGTGTAGTTTTTGCCGTTTTCCCTCCCTCCCTTTTCCAGCTGTAGACTTGAATTTATGAAGTTGCAATTAGAGATTTTGCCCATGTACTCTTCTTAATTATCTGTATTATCTTTTGGATGCCTACACTGTTTTTGTTAGAGGGAAGGGTGTCCTTACTGCTGGCTTCTGTTTCTTTTGTTGTGGAGAGCTTTTAGTCATTCTGAAAGCCAAAGCTTCCCTTTGGGGACGTCATTACTTGTATCTTACATGAAATAGCGACCTTTCTGGTTTCTTCCAGGGTTGCCCCCTCCAACAGGTCTCAGGCTTCTCCCAAAAAGTCAGAACGAGCTGAATTTGACCTGGCATCCAATAGTTACAAATTCAGATGATGAATTTTACGTCGAAGTTGAGAGGCGGTCCACTTCGCAAACAAAAAACGATCACCAGAACATTAAAGTCCTCGGGAACCTGACTTCAGTGCTGCTGAACCACCTGAAACCCAGGGAGCAGTACATTGTCCGAGCTAGAGTCAACACCAAGGCCCAGGGGGAGTGGAGTGAAGATCTCACCGCGTGGACCCTTAGTGACAGTAAGTAGCTGGTGTGGCTCCTGTCTCACAAGCATTATTTGCCACTGCTATTTAGACTTGGCTTTTTTGGGGGGAGGGGGGCCTGAAACTCACTGTGTAAACCGGGCTGGCCTTGAACTCACAGAGATTCACCTGCCTCTGCCTCCAGAGTGCTGGGATTAAAGGCGTGCGCCACCACGCCCAGCTCTGACTGGTTCTTAGAGATCATAAAGGTGGTTAGTTAACTGCAGGTGGAGGCTAGAGCTAATAGTATCAATGTGATCATTTTACTAGTCTACAGTACGTAGGAAGGCTCCATTGGGATTTGCAGTGATTCGGGCAGGACAGTGCTAAAATTTCCTTTGTGTGGAGTTATTAGTAACAAGAATATAACTATAACAGGAATATTAGTAGCAAGACTTAAGTTCTTTAGTGCTTCTTTACACAGCTAGCTTAAGGATTATCATGTATCTACACATATGTAGATACTAATTAATGATGGACGATCTTATAAATAGTTTTGCTTTGAAAATTCTTCTTAACACACAATTTATGTCGAAGCTTCTTTTCTTTCAAAATGTTCTGTAGTTCAAGCTTTTCTGTATTTCAGATTGGTTGTTTAAAGTCAGTTGGCGCTTCTCAGGAGTCTTTGCAGTACTCAAATTTCTCTCGTCGTTAGCAGTGAGCCTACTGCACTTCATTGAATGAGGACCGTATCTTTGCATTCTGAGGCCTTTAAATGATGAGAAACCTCTTGGCCACACTATCTGCTCTTAAGTCGGGGTCATATGATCCTTGCCAATCCCCAAAGTATAGATCGGTCTTCTGTGGCTGGTTTGCTCTCTCAATAATGGGGGGGAGGGGGAACTGGCTCAGTATTTCTTCAGCAATACATTGTATCAGTGACTCATAAAAATCTGAACTGTTTCTTCAGTGCTTAGGGATTCTTCTCTCTCTCTCTCTCTCTCTCTCTCTCTCTCTCTCTCTCTCTGTGTTTCAGAATAGTGGAGAGACTAACACAACACACATAACATTTCTGCCACACAGAATGAATGACTGTTAGCACGCTGCTACGTTTTCTTTTAGCATTTTTTCTTGAACTAAACAATAACAAAATGCAGATATACCTATGAAAATCTCCCTCGGTGCTGTCCCCACTGTTTCTTTTCCTCTATCCCCAGACCAAATGTATTTATTATAAGTCTTTCCACTCAGTGTTGTGTATACCATTTTAATATGTATTCATAAGTGTATATATGTACACAAACCATTCTTCATCCTTTCCTGAGTAAACATGATTTCTGTTAGTTTATTTATGTCTAATATCTGCCTTTTAAATTTTCTGTATAATATTTTGTCTTCTGAAGACACCATGCCATTCTTTGGGATTCATTTCTCTTTATTACTTTTTAAAGCCAACATACCAAACAATGGGTCTCACTGTAACATTTTCATGCGTATCTATCGTTTTGTCTAGCTCACACTTGCTCCCCCACTACTGTACTACTCTTGCAGGGACTCTAGTTTCTGCATCCATGTTGGGTGGCTCACAAACACCGATAACTCTACCTCCAGGGGATCTGATACCCTCTTCTGGCCTCTGTAGGCACCCCCCACACACGCGGCATTCACTTACATGGACACACACACACACACACATACATGTAAATAAAAATAAGAGAAACAAATTTTTAAAAAGAAAGTTTCTGCTCATGCCTATGCCTTCAAATGTTTTCCTTAGTTTGACAGTGTAAGGTCTTTGATCCATTTTGAATTGATTTCTATACAGAGAGATATGAACGTAGTTTCATATTTCTACATGGGAATAGTCACCCATTTTCTTAGTACCATTTGTTGAAAAGGCTGTCTTTCCCCCAATGTATATTTTTATATCATTGTCAAAAATTAGGTGACTGTTTTTCTCTGGGTCCTCCGTTGTAGCCCGTGGATCAGATGCCTGTTCTCTAGAAGTCTTGTGCTGCTTTTGTTTCTGTAGCTCTGTGGTATGAATTAAAATGAACTCTTCTGATATTTCCTCCGCTACTTTCTGTCAGACATTGTTTTTAATATCTGGAGTCTTTTGTTCTTCCGTATAAAGTTTAGGATTTGTTTCTAGTTCTATGAAGCATGTCATTAGACTAAGCATGTTGGCACATGCCTTTAATCCCAGCATGTAGGCAGCAGAGGCAGGTGGATCTCTAGTGAGATCAAGGCCAGCTAGGTCTATATAATGAGTTCCAGGACAGCTAAGGGTATGGGAAGACCCTGTCTCAAAAAAATCAAAACCAAACAAACAAACAAAAAACTGTGAGAATCACAGTGAGTGTGTAGATTGCTTTGGGTAATACAGCCATTGTTCATGCTGCCGTTCTGTGTGTATGGGAAGTCGTTCTGTTTTGTAGTATCTTCTGTTTCTTCAGTGTTTTAAAGATTTCATTGTGGAGATTTTTCACCCTCTTAGTTAGGTTTAGTCTTAGGTATTTTGCTTATTATTGCCTTGAAACTACAGTGAATGCTTTTTCCTGGTTTCTTTCTTGGTGAGATCATTATTGGAATGTAGGAAAGCTTCTGAGTTCTTATTGTTGTGTTGACACAGGGTCTTAGGTATCCCGGGCTGGCCTTAAAAGTTGAAGATAATTGTGAACTTCTAATCCTCCTGTTTCTACCTCCTGAGTTCTGGGATTACAGGAATGCTCCACTCTGCCCAGTTGTATAGTGCTGGGGGTCAAACCCAGGGCTTCACGCATGTTAGACATGCATTTCACCAGCACAGCTACAGCCCCAGGTCCCTAACCTACTTATTTTTGTATATTGATTTTTGTGTCCTGCTACTTGGATGAAAGTGTTTATCAAATCTAAATGATTTCTCATTGAGTTTTTAGGATTTTTTTAAAAAATATTTTATTAGCTGGGCATGGTGGCACATGCCTTTAATTCCAGCACTCGGGAGGCAGAGGCAGGTGAATCTCTGTGAGTTCAAGGCCATCCTGGTCTACATAGTGAGTTCCAGGACAGCTGGGGCTACAGGGAGACCCTGTCTCAAAAAGACCAAAAATTTTTTTTATTTATTATTTTTATTTTACATGTATAAGTGCATTGCCTGCATGTGTGTACAAGCACCTGTGTTGTGCAATGCCCACAGAGGTCAGAAGAGGGCATCAGATCCTCTGGAACTGGAGTTATTGACGGTTATTAGTCACAATGTGGATGCTAGGAATTGAACTCAGGTCTTCTGCAAGATCAGTCAGTGCTCTTAACTGCTGAGCCATCTGTTCTGCCAGTTTTTAAGGGTGTTTAAAGTAGAAGATCATGCCATCCTCAAATGGCGTAATTTGATTTTGCTTTCTTATTGTTTCTCTTTTTATTTCTTCCTCTTGACGTACTGCTCTAGGATTTCAAGCACTTACATTGAGGAAGAATAGAGCGAATGGACAGTCTTATTTCTAATCTTAGGGGAAATGCTTTCAGTTTTCCTCTACTTAGTAAAACACCGATTGTAAGTTTCTTGTATGTAATCTGTATTATGTTAAGATATGTTCCTTCTATTCCTGCTTCCTTCAGGGATGTTCTTATTAAGGGGTGTTGAACTTTGTCAAATGTCTTTTCTGCATCTATTGAGACCATCATGTAGATTTCTGTCCTTAAATCTATTTATGTGCTGTATTTCAGTTAATTAAAATATGTTGGCTAAATAGCTACATGAGTGAACTTGGTAACAGATCATCTTCATCACTCACCTCCCCAGATCTCCTCCTACCATCAAGATGAGACCACAGTCCAAGCCAACAACTTGACTGTAGTTTCACTGGGGACCTTGATCCAGAGATACCCAGACAAGCCATGTCAGGATTCTTGACACACAGAGACTGTGAAATAATAAATGTTATGGTTTTAAGCCACTAAGTGTAGCGGTCACCTTTGACCAGAGAAATGTTACCTTGGGGGCTCTAGATGATGTACTGTGCTCTGTGGTCTGCAAAGCAGCCCCATCAGGCTGTAGTGAGAAAAGGTAAATTGACGTAAAGAATTCCTTATGACTTTTAACACTTTGGTCAGGTTTATTTCTGAAACTTAGTTCATTTCTGCATTTGAAAATATTGTTCCTTATAATAAAGTCACCTTTCTGTGCTAAAAAAAAAAAGTTGGCTATCATTGCTTCCCTGGAATGAAACTTTGCCATAGTATATGATCTTCTTAATGTGTTCTTAAATTCAGTTTACAAGTATTTTTAAAAATATATTTCAAATTTTTATATGTATGAGTATTTTGCCTGCATGTATGTAAGTGCACCATATGCATGCAATGCCCATAGAAACCAGGAGAGGGCATCATATTCCCTGGGACTAGAATTACAGAGTTGTTAGCCACCAGGTGGGTACTGGGAGCTAAACCTGGGTCTTCTGGAAAAACAATCAGTGCTCTTAACCACTGAGCCATCTCTCCAGCCTGAGCTTGACGGTATCTTAGCGAGAACTTTTGCATGTATGTTCGTAAGGGCAATTTGTCTATACTTTTCTTTTTTGTGTGTTCTTACCTGGTTTGGGTATCATGATAATACTGGTTGGTAGAATGAGTTTGGTAGTGTTCTTTTCCTTTATATTTCATTGAATTGTTTAGGAGGATCAATGTCAGCTCTTTAAAGTTTTACTATAATTCAGCATTGGGTCTGTCTGGTCTTGGGTTTTTATTTGTTGGAAGTTGTGTGTTTGTGGGTGCACATGCTGTGAAGCCAGAGGAGAACACTGTGTATCCTGTTCCATCGCTCGCTCTCTCTCTTATTTCTTGGAAACATCTCTCACTGAACCTGAGGTGAGGCTGGTAGCCAGCAAACCCCAGTGACCCTCTGGTCTCTGATTTCTCATACCACTGGGGTTACAGGCAGGTGTGTTCCTGCCCTCACCTGGGTGGCTTTTTGCTTAAGTGTTAGGATCCAAACTCAGGTCTTCATGCTTGTGCAGCAAATGCACTTAGCCACTTACCCATTACCCTGGTCCTTTTTCTATAAAGTGGTTGTTTTTACC